AGCAACTGAAAGGGTTTGGACCTGGTAAAACAAGCTGCCCATTACAAGAACCTCTAGTGTTGTGGTCATGAACAGAATTACTATAAACAATTTGTGAATGTATAAAAACAGGAACATTACTGCTCATGACTGACTTAAATAGGATAAGTGTATTAAAAAGCAACTTGTTCTCAACCGTAAGCCAGGAAAGGCAGGAATGCATCTGGTTGACATTAGATCTAATGTGGCAGCCCAGTACCAACCGTGCTGCCTTGTTCTGAACAACCTGTAGCTTTTTGAGTTCACCCCTGGCAGCAGATGTCCACACTGTAGAGCAATAGTCAAGATGACACAACACTAGACTCTGAACTATTTGACATAAAAGGGGACGGGCCATAAAAGAGCAACATTTCCTTGCGGAACTAATTGCTCTTCCCATTTTCACAATAATATTATTAATGTGGTGAGACCAAGACAGAGAACAGTCTACCATCACACCAAGGAGTTTGGCACTTTCAACTTGTTGAACCGTCAAGTCACAAAACTTTAAGTCAAGCTTTGGGCTTGCGGACAGCTTATGCCTTGAACCAATTACCATGCACTTAGTCTTAGAGATGTTGAGGGCCAGTTTGTTACTCACCACCCAATCATATTAAACATTCAGTTCTCGGCTCAAAAACCTGATTTAATTCACCGCATGAAGGTGCAGTATAATACAAAGTGGTATCATCTGCGTACAGGACAGTTTTGGCACTTTTTGTAGCCCAAGCTAGATCATTAGTAAAGATTGAAAAAAGTAAAGGACCTAAACAGCTGCCCTGTGGAACTCCACACTCCAAACTTCTTCTACTGAAGAGGCTGCCATTTAGATAAACCTTCTGTGATCTAAAAGACAGGTAGCTTTCAATCCACTTTAATGCCAAAGAATTAAAACCATAAAATTTAAGTTTCTCAGTTAATAAAGTATGGTCCAGAATGTCAAAAGCAGCACTAAAATCCAGGTACACAACACCTACCAACATAGATTTATCCATCGCTTTAAGCCAGTCATCAGTCATATGAATCATTGCAGTAGAGGTTGAGTGGCCAGCTCTATATGCATGTTGAGAGTCTGTAAAAAGTTTGTTTTTTTACAAAATAATCCTGAAATTGTGCATGTACCAATCTTTCCATAATTTTACTTAAAACAGGTAAAATACTTATTGGTCTAGAGTTCCCCTCATTAAAAGCAGATTTAGTACCTTTAGGTAAAGGAATAACTTTAGCCTCCTTCCAGATCCTTGGACATAGGCCCACATCCAAGCAACGATTAGAAATATGACAGATGGGAGCTGCTATGACACCAGCAGTCATTCTCAGGAATTTACTATCCAGGTTATCTAATCCAGCTAGTTTACTGTCAGGAAGAGAACGGAGCAAATGTTCCACTCTATGGACTTCAACTTGTTTAAATACAAATTCACAACTTTTACCTTTCATTATAATGTTCTTAATACATTCATATGATCTAATGTTGTGTGAAGTGTTCATAGTCTGCCTTAATTGAGATACTTTCTCAATGTAAAAGTCATTAAAATGATTAGCAATATCACCTGGCTTTGTGAGAACAAATCCATTTGATTCAACAAAGGGTGTGCACACAGTTGTGTTCCGACCCATGATTTCATTTAAAACATTCCATATTCCTCTACTATCGTGCCTCACCTCATATAACCTTCGTTTAAAGTAGTCCCTTCATTAAATCGCTTATAGGACCGTGTTAAAATTATTTTAGCTTTAGGTTTTGGAATCTTTGTTTTTCTACTAATAGCAATTATATTATGGTCACTAAAACCTACAGGCACAGAGATTGCCTTAGAGCACTGGAGAGCAGCATTTGTGTAGATGTGGTCAATGCATGTCCCAGAAATAGTTCCATCACTACCAATATTTATTCTTGTGGGGACTTCAACAATTTGAGACTGTAGAGAATTAGTGTGCACCTATGATTAAAGTTATATGATTAAAGTTGTATACATGTCATCTTTTACATTGAATAAAGGGCTTGGTTTAAAGTTCTAACCATATTGTGCCTTAGCATGGAAAGGTCTGAGCTGCGAGACCAGCAGTACAGCTTTACAGATAAGGCTGATTAACTGAGTAGAAAGAGTTTTAAGTGCACCTTTGCAGGAGTAGACTGTTAATGAATAATCCTAAAGCGCAGCTTTTGCAAGGGTAGGTTTCCAAGGAAAGATAGAATTCTGAGCACAGCAGACGGTTGGGATCAATAATGTTCTGAGTACAGCAACAGAAGGGCAGATGGCCAAGGTCATTTAGGCCTCAGAAGCGGCAGAAAAGTCAGGATAAGGCCGGTTGGTGAAGCATTGGTGCAGATGTACACAGCTTAGTTAAACAAAATGTGATAACGGGAGCTGTTGGTTTTAACACACACACACCCTGAGCAGTACTAATGTGAGGGTTTACTGAAGCTTTAAGCACCCTAGTTCAATGTGAAATGTTGCAAGCATGGATCACTGAATAGTACTATGTGAAATGTTACAATCATAATTACTGGATGAAAACCTTGTTTTAAAATAATAAAAACTAAACTGAAAACTGGGTTTTGAAATAATAATAGCTGGAAAATAATGGTTGTTGATTTAATAGCGACATATGTTATTATGACTTATAAGAAAAGTAATCAAGACATGTAATGAAGTGTTTGTTGATTAAATATATAAAAAAATGTGTTTTGAAAAGGGCTTTCCACCGGTAAAATAAAATTAATTAGACTTAACCGAAGAAAATGCATGTAAAATGATGAAAAAGAAAGGAGGAGCTTGGGGGAGGAGCCCCATAGCCTGAAATGTATAAAAGGGAAGCTGTTTCATTGTATTGTCAGTTGTTTTCCGGAGAACAGCTCAGTGTTGATGCTGTGTTTTGCAATAAAACTCTGGACTTGGAAATCCGTGACCTCTGCCTGTTTTTTACATTTTTGGTTGAAGACTCTTTCTACCTTTTGAGAACTTTGAATTTTTATAAAACTTAGTTTCAATTTTTAAGTCGTTAAGAAAGAAAATACACGACAAGACAGACTACATGCACTCAATATAGAGAGTAACGTTTTCCTGTTAGGACAAGAATGCACCAACCAGTCAACATTTACATCACCCAGCAGATAAATCTCTCTATTTTTATCCGATATCTTATCAAACATTTCACACAACCCAGTCATATATACAGCATCTGCATTAGGGGGTCTATAGAAGCAAAAAAAACTAAAAGTGGTTTTAAATAAGGCACGTATATTTGTACACAGCATGCTTCGATGTCCTCCCTCATCAAATCAAAGCGTATATTCGCAGGTAAATTATTTTGTACATAAATAGCCACTCCACTCCCAAATCTATTTCTGTCTTTCCTAAAAACAGAAAAACCATCAATGGCTATGCTTGAGTCAGAGAAGGAATCATCAAGATGGGTCTCAGAAACAGCAATGATGTTAATACAATTATCTCTGACAATTTGCTCCACGTCCAGGTACTTGTAACGTAAACTACATACATTCACGTGAGCCAACACAAGTCCCTTATGCAAGTTCAACTTAATGCAAAGCATATCCTTACTGGGCACAGTCATGAGCTATCAAAAAGAACATTAAATCCAACTATAAAACTAAAAACAGCATGACATCAAACTACAGACTCATACAAATTTTTCTAAAGGGGACTAAACTAGATTTAAGGAGCAATGCTGAAGCTTTTAAAACACCCAAACAGGATTATGGTACCAGTAATTACACAAATTAGAGTCTTTTAAAAATGAGTTCTGTGTTGTCCTTGCCATGAGGTTGCTAGTCCTCATCAACTAGACAGCTAGATAATGATGCTCCAATAAACACTGCTGTCATCTGTCTTTCCTTGCTGATTTATTGAAGAATGGTCTCTAACCATTGCCTTCTCTTTGAACATCGTAAAGCTGGAACAGACAAACATGATATGAGCTAACTTCCATTGCAAGTAGGGCTTGGCGATATGACCTCAGATCAATATCATGATAAATTGGGCAGTACATCGCTCGAGAACGATAAATGCATGATGAATGCTCCTCTATCAGAAATAAAAGCGTATGCAGGAAATGCAACTGTTCTATTAATAATTTATTTATTTATTTAATAAATCACATTACATATTACTATGAGTCTTGCAACCATTCTGGTTTAAACATTCAACAATGTTTCATTGAATAGGAGAAAAATGTAACCTCTCTTGCAAACATTTTTAGCAGGAACTAATCCCACATCTTAGTGATCCCATTTACGTCTCTTAATGTTTTACAAATTAAGATTTTTACACATCTAAACTCAACATCATGGCTGTGCTTTAGGTGGTGGAGGTTAGATGTGTTACTTTGGGTAGTCCTGACAGTTTTCACACAAACTTTGCATTTCGTGTTCTTTTACCCTACATCTTTTGCATAATGTTACCACCGAACTGAGTGTGCAGTGAGAACAATGTGCATTGTTGCACACCCTCACTCAAAACCTGTCTGCCGCACGCTCAATTCTGACAAAGCAGAAACTTCTTCTCTGCACACTCAGCTTCATCTCTGCTCTCGCTTGGCTCCACAGGATTAACTGATGTAATTTCGTTTTCAGCTGTGTTAGATGCTTCCTCTGTCTTGTTTACGCTTCTGACTGGATTGGAGGAATCGCATGATTATACAGCTGCTGCCATTTCTTAAAGGGGAAGGAAATACCAGCCACCCTCAAACATAGAAAAATGGCAGAATTAAGTTTATTTCTTTTACCGACATGGGAAAATTGTCGGTGGTTATCGTGGTGAATGACAGAAACGGTAAAAATCTTGTTTATTGCCAAGCACTATTACTTGTTGGTCTGCAAGATTTGACCACCCAGATCATTTGAACTTAAATATAGAGTTTCTTAGTTCTTTAGTTTTTACTTTAATCTTTTTTGGCGTCAAATGCAATATATTTTTTTGGTTTGAACACTTGACATTTCCCCCTCTTTTCCTTTTTAGGTCTGCAGCTGCAGATTTGGGAATGTGTCCTTTTTTAAGAAGCATGTTTGTTCAAAATATCATCAACAGGTGAGAGTTCCAGATGTTTTTTTTTTTAAACTGTCTTTAGTTGACAAGAAAAATGCATAAGGGTTGTTCGAAGGTGTCACCCCTGTAAGGCAGACAGAGAAAACAATTGAATGCTTTATGATGTTAACTACTAACTGCTCTAATGCTATGTTCTAATACTATGACACTGATTTGCCAGAGCAACTTAAAAAGTTGGGTAAGGCTAGAGTATCTACAAAAGAAAAGTAGTAAACCTTCACTTTCATGGATCATCATTAAGTAAGATCCTCATTTATCCAGTAAAAAGGTTTCAGGTTCCAGGTTTGAAGACGTTTCGCTTGCCACCCAGGAAGCTTGAGCTAAAAACAGCAAGCAAATTTGGTTACCAAATTAGGACCATGCAAGAAGCTTTTTACTCTTGGCAAAAACATTTTTTAATCATCTATTACATTTTTTTTAAGGTGTCTAGACAGATTTTCCCAAAAGGTAAATTCACTTCAATTAGCATCTTTATTTCTGTCTTAAAAAAATCTATTTATGTATCCTTTTAAAATACTTTGTTAATTAATTTTCTTTTCTAAAATTTTCTTCCATTAGAAAATTTGCTGTACGAAGGTGAGAATCTTTTCAGTACTTTTTTAGTTTTGTGGTAATGAATCAAGTTTTAAAAGGTTGTCTCATAAAAACATACTTGTCTGATCTTTCATATTTTAAAAATGATGGATTCTAACACCGCATAGTTCGGCAACTTCTGATTATCTGTGCTTTCAAATAAAAAAAAAAGAGAGGGATGCAGATGGAGATCATTTTTACCGAATATTTTTAAGATACATTTTTTAATTCCTGAGAAATTAATTCTTTTTTTTCCCATTAAAAGGCCTTATTCCCATTATTTCTTTTATGGATCCGCATCGCAAAGGCTTTAGTGAACCCTTCGTTGGTGAGTATGTTATTTTTTTCTTGCTGTATATATTGCACCAAGCAACCTATACACTGCATAGGTTGCTTAGTTTTTCTGTGCAATAACCTTTTGCTTTATATTTGATACCCATTGCAATAGCTAAAAAAAAAAAAAAAAAAAAAAATATATATATATATATATATATATATATATATATATCTCCTGTGCAATAACCAATGTAAGATCAATAAAGTAAACCAGTCAATCAAATAGACCTCTGCAGCATTATAGCCTTTAAAATAACTGCCACAATATCCTATTCTATTACAATAAGAACTAAAAAGCTTGGATTAAAAACATAATAATGAGCAAGAATAATAATTTTGCTGCTAAATGATGTAATAATTATGAGGATGTTCCCTATTCTATTATATATATATATTTATATATATATATTAATATAAGCCTGAAAGACAAACAGTTTAAATAAAAAACTTAAGATGTCTTTGCAGTTCCTAATTCTGCAACATATTTAACCCCATTGCAATTCTGTTTTATACAAAATAACATTAGTTTAAAATTAGAACATTTTCCACACATTTGCTAACAAACTGGTTATGGTTGGCACACCTTTTTAATCTTATGTACCAAAAAATAAATAAATAAATGAGAAATGAAAATAAAAAATAATATGTTTATAAAATACGAAGTTTAGGGGAACGCTGACCCTTGCAGTTCATAGGTCAGTATTGGTAGCCCTTCCTATGACTCTGTAGCCTTGAAGTAGCGCTCATCCGTTAAAAAGAATTGGTGACCCCTGCTATAGAATATTATTGAATATTATTGAAAATGTGTATCACTTGATACTGTCGTGGATGTCCTCCAAACGACGTAGTGATTTATGCTAAGTTTTTCAAAAATTCTAAGCTCTTGGAAAAGCAGTTGAAAAATCTCCAACAGTAGTCAAAAAGAAGCAGAGGCAGCTGATTCTCTGTCCAGTATGGTTTATTGCAACAATAAAAGTCCACCACACATGAAATGTTCACCGGTCAACATCTGACAAAGAAAGAAAATGGTCTGCTTATATACACTCCCAGGGTCTTAGGGGCTCCTCCCCGAAGCCCCTCCTATTTTTACGTAATTTCAGGTACTTTTTCCACGGATATCTCTGTTATCTATTTACCTACCGGTGGAAATTTCCCCAGGGTGCGTATTTTATTTTTTTTAAATGGCTGCACTTTATTTGCCTTACTCTATTACCCTTCATTACCGGTTCCATTTGGTACCATGGTGACGCACGTCTTGATTACATTAACTCCTTGGTGATACATGTCTGGTTTGCATTAACTCCATTAAAGCTGAAGTCTGTAAGTTTTTAAAAATCACTTTTTTGTCATATTGGCTAAAACTGTCCATATGCCCGGACAACAGTACATGTGATATGTAACCTGTGAAAAAAACTGCTTCAATTGGTCCCGCCTACTGCCTGTATTGCAATCTGGAAAGAATATTTCGGGACGAGACAAAACAACCAATCACAGCCAGAGGAGCGTCTGGAGTGTCAATCACAGCTCACACACGCTGAATCCCGCCCCCTCCCTCTCACCGCTGAACCTGCCGCTGCCGCAGTCAGGAGGACTCGCGTGGAAGTCATGGCGGAGCGACAGCCACCAGCGAAAGAGAAACTGCCCTTACTGCCCCTGCCGACAACTGCTTACACAGCAAAGACTTCAAAAAAAGAAGATGTCAATGGAAGAGCTGCCGCGTACGCTGCTTGGACGCTTCTGGTCGCATGCGGTAGCTGCGCAGATGCTGTGAGAGGGGTGGAGCTTGGAGGTGGGGCATAAGTGAAGCAGAGAGGGTGGGGAAGTGGCGTGAAACCTGTTTTTCTTCAAATTTTCAGTCGAAGTCTGCTCTCTTCTCAATGTAACAGACTGCAGCTTTAACTTCTACATGTCTCGTTTGACCTTTGGTTTTTCCACTGCCACACACTCATTTCCCTAGATACATGTTAAAACACACCATTTAACCATTGTGACAAGAATATATTCATTGTGAGATATCAATCCACTACAATACAGTCCTCAATAATTGTTTGACACTGTTTCCTTACCCTGCAGACACTAAGGGCTGGACTGGTTTTATCCGGTCAGATGTAACAGAGCCATTGAACTTTTGCAGAAGAAACAGCTTTTTCTTGGAAGTCAATCCCCTAATAACAGAACCCAGATGTTCAGTACGTGCATATTGAAACATAGCAACCAGACCTTAATAAACTCCTGATATCAAAATATTTATAAAGTTTTGACCATCAGCAGACACTGTAGTTCCTTTAAACCTTAGTATACAGTGCTTAAAGCTCTCTGCAGGTTTCAGTATTTGCTCTTTATCCAAACGTACATTTTTCGTAAGTCATCAAACAGATTTATAGCCTGGCCAACCAGAGCATTATTCAGTCTGGACAGACCAATCACAGAGAAGGAGGCAGGATTATGATGCACATTTAACATCAGATGCGAAGGTGCTGACAATGAAAAATTGTTTTAGAACAAATTTTTACTGAAGATCACAAAAAATAATACAAGAAGAACTCCACAGTTCTGAATGCAAAATTTGCAAAATTGGTCCTTTGTAAAAATAAGTAAACATTTGATTTGTTCAAGCTTCAGCTATTTTTAATGTCACTATGCCGTACTTTCAAATTTACAATTCCCCTTCAGCTGCCATGACCCCCCACGTCAAGACTTTTAAATAAATGGAGCAACTGGTCCCCACTCTGTAGAATTTTCTAGCTATGAGGTTTTATATATACATTCATAGCAAAGTGTTATATATTTTGTTTTATTTCATAAATTTTTTATTTCATAAATGCTTAAAACCACATGAGTAAGTGTTAACCATATCCAAAGCTTCTTGAAGAAAGAAGAGGACAAGTTATTCACTTTTAATTCTCCTCTTGCCATGTTCAATGTCAGGGATTGTTAAACAATGGAATTTTATAACTGATTAATCAAATAGTGGTCTGATGTCGCCGCATGCAATCTTGTGATAACTTGACAGCTCACACCGTCTGCTTCCTGACTTTAGACCTCACATATTCTCCATCAAATACAAAACAAAGTTAAATAAAAGCATAGAGGCCTTGACGGGTAATTGTTTTCATCCTTTGTAATTTTGTTTGGAAACCTTGTTACGTATTAATATGTCCAATTTGTGCTTTCTTCCAGGTGTGTCTATGATCAGCCTCTGCTTCAGTCCAGGTCCTCCTTCAGGTTTTTACCTCTGTCATGTCTGTGAGACCAAATGCTCTTTAAAGAACATCTTTGGGCACGTCCATTCAGAAGAGCATTGCTTCAACTACTTTGTAAGTGTTTGACATCTTCAGTTATTAATCAGATATTTTGGACTAAGATCCTTAATCATATCCATGTTTTAAGGTCTACACAAATCCAGATGATGTGAGTTTCTCCTGGAGACCAGGCATGGACATAAGGAGCGTTCTGCGGTCTAAGCTCAAAAGTGAAGTTAAAAAAACTGAGCTTAATTATCTGCAGGTTTGTACAATGATGCTGATCATATGTCAGATTAAGAAATTGTGCTGTTGGTTGGTTTAATTGAACCATCGGAGTGGCTTTAATCAGCATTAAATCAATTCTGCAAGTGAAGTTGGTCATGTCTTTAACATAGATGAAGCACTTCGAACTCATCTGTTTATCTGCTTGACAAACATCCTTACAAACTTGCCAAAATCCTTTAAATGTGGATTTTATTTATTTAGTTTCTATTTCAAACAGTATGTTGAGTCTGGCTGTCCTACATTGGTGGAACACATTACAGGGAAGTCGAATGTGAGATCTTTCTTTTTAAAATATCCTCTTAAAGGTATAGCAGAGGATGTTCTTTTTCCGAGTGGAGCATCAAAATAAGTGGTTCTCCTAATTGTTAATCAATCCGGTGATATGTTTCTGCACATTCGCACTTTCAGGTGTATATTTGTGATGACCTACGGTTTCAGCCAGGCACTCCTTTCTAACTGCTGTTCTTTAAAAATGGCCGAGGGTCATAAGAGAGAGTGTCTACGAAGAAGGGAAAGGCCTCAGAAGAGAGAAACAAGAGCAGAGTTTTTTTTAGGAGATTCTCTCACTCGTTGGCGTACACTGAAAGCACAGCAGGTTCAGGGTTGTGCATATGCATTTTTTTTTTAAGTGGAAAGGGCGGGTATTTTCAAAGATTCGCAAAAATCCTCCACTATACCTTTAAGGCATATAAAAAGAACAGCTAATCATGGTTCTTTGAAAATTCCTCAATTAGCTTTAATCCTCCCAGACTGCTACTGTGTCCTGATTGAGGAAATAGGAAAGTGTAACTCACCCCATTTGACATTATTGGTATGTAGAAGGTTGCAATTACCCATTTCGATCACCACAATCTGCACTCTGGGTCTCAAGGGGACGGATCACATGCAAAGGTGAATTTCTCCAGAGTGAGATTAATTAAAAGTTAAATTATTAAACACACAATGAACTTGGGCTAAACAAACATTAGCATTAGTTTAGCAGCTAAAATGATTCTGCAGAGATCAGTACTTTTTACCTGTAGAACATGGAGGCCATCTGGGTAACAGTACGCAACATTTACTAATTTTTAATAACCGAGGCTAACTAATACAAGGGCTAAAAACAGTAGAATTTTCGTTAAGGATAAAAATCAAGACATTGCAAAGGATTAGCTTCCTCAACCCACCGGAAGGGGAAATTTAATCAATTGACAAGCCGAATTCCAAAATGCTGTCCAAAATTCACAATACAGAGCTTATCTTGCAAAGCTTCGTCCCCCCAAAAGACACCGCACCCATCTCAGTTGCAATTATACCCATTGTAACTTGGTGTGAGTGTGTTGCCTCATGGACTGTGCAGAACCTAATTGGAGTGACAATTAGGTCTGTTTTGGCCCTGGCTTTCTCTAATCGCATGTGTGTGCACGATAGCCTGATGCACACGTGGAATTATTTTTGTGGAAATCTGTGTTGCGTTCCAAGTTTGTCAAAGTTGTTCTTTTAAAAAAGTGAACAAGACAAAACCAGCAATTTGGCAGATTTTGGGGTTGATGAAAGAGAAGGAAATGGATTTGTCGGACTTAACCAGTTTTCTCTTCGTAGGCACTGCATTTACCCTTACAGCTACTTAAAAATCTGATGGATTCAACTTACACAGAAGGTAATTTGTTCTCTGAATGTTGACCAAAAAGTATTTTTCTCTGAACATGTTCTTTAATAACATTAATCTTGCTATTATCCCTAGTGATGCAAGCTTTAGCTGAAAAGGACAAGCTTGTTGAGCAGTTTGAAGGTATGTGTGCTATTTCTAAATGGTTAAACAGATTTATCCACTAATGCTGCACCATGTTAAACATCAGCTGGGAAGTTTTCCTTAATATAGGGATGTCTTGGCATTATATTAAGAGCACGAACAGAACATCACAGGGTTTATAGTTTTGTTTGATAAATTACACAAATGACTTTACCTCTAACTATGGTTGCTGTGCTAAACTTCAACTTGAGGTTTTTATTTTTTCATCTTTCACATGTTTTTTTTTCTGGTTTTATGAGATATCCATATTAGAACAATGGATTTCACCTTTAGGGAATCCTCAATTCAGCTTAAAATGGAGTTTTGTATACCATCTCTCTGTATTCAGTGGTTACAAAGTTTTCCAGCATTTTCTATTAGAAAAGTGATTTCAAAAGTAGCTTTACAAAAAAATCTACCTTGCTTTTCACTCTAATTCCCATGATTATTCATAACAGCTTTGAATTCAGCAGCTGTCAAGGTAATCATCCATCTAGTGGATATTACGGATTTCAGCTGTAAATCATAACACCCCTACATAACCTAAAAACTTTTTTATTACCTTTTTGCGTTCCGTCTTTATATTCTTACATTTATAAACTACTGTGATATGATGTCTGTTTGTGATATTTCAATAGGTATGGTACTTTTTAAGGTGTTTACACTTCATTCTTGGACTAAAACAGATTACCTTACCTGTACATTTTGATAAAGCAAGATCCTATTTAAGTGAAAGTCATATGACTGATGTGGAGTTTTTCCTTTTCTAGTCTTGCTCTTAATCGCTTTCTTTTCCTCTTCCAGCTATACAAAAGAACAGGACAGATCTTCAAGATTACCACAGCAGCAGTAACAGGAAGCATCCACTTCTTGGTTTGTTAAAAATGTTTCATTTTACAAGTTGAAAACATCCAAACCAATGATAAAGATCATTTTTAGACAGAGAACGCTTATAAAAAAATAAAAATGCTTGATTTTTGGCCATTCGTTGTGTTTAGTTAGGCTAAAATTCCAGCTTTTTTTTCTCTTTTATCTTCCAGGACTGCAGCACATTGTTGAATGTGTTTGTGCCAAGCCAGGAGAGAAGAGATATTACCTCTGCACTTTGTGCTGCCTTGTCTTTGCCAACCACATGATCATCAAACATGTGCTCAGCCTTGACCACATTCACTGTTACTTTGTAAGTAGACCTGACATTAAAACGAGCAGTTATTTTAAACAAATTACACAGCCCCGTTTAAATAGGCGTTACATCTGGCTTAAAAGTGATACAAGAAGAGTTTAGTCTTTTGCCAGTTTATTTTTTTTTCTGTTTTGTCACTTGGTTACACATTTATAAAAGCAAATGATAGTAAATAAATATATTTTATTAATCTATTGTTATTATTAGGGTAAACGTAAAGCTATCTAAACACATGAGAAAACAGATTGCCACACCTTTCTAAGCTGAACTTTCTTCTCAATTCAGCCTTTTTGATTTCTAATCTTTAATATTAAGCTTAAGTATCTGGAACATGAGTGCAAATTTGATATCACAAACATGCAAATAAGAGATGGTATGAAAAAAAAGTAAAAAAAACTTAAATCCTTTTAAGCTAAATTTCACTCAGGGCACCTGCCCAGGTGAATCAAGAATTCTCTTACTTGGTGCCTATGTGACAACACGGAATAAATAAAAAGCTCTTCACATCCGATAATGGTAAATTAAGAACACTTGGTATCAAAGCTTAAAGAAAGGAAAAGAAAAAGAAAAACAGTAAATGACATTCTCCACAGTTAGAGCTATAAACTAGTTTGATGTATCCTGGTTTTGCTCTGAGAATAATTTCTCCTTAGCATGCAGCTCATATACCATGGTCTAGCTTTGCTCCTGAACCAGCCTCAGTGCTGAAGGTCAAGCGTTCTGGTTTTCTATTTTTTCCATATCTGGAATAACTTGTTTTTTTCTGTAATGCCTGTAGTCGATTGTCGTTTATTTAAATTTTTTTATCAGTAAATACAAGATTCACAAGGGATGATTTTAGGGAAATTGGTAGGGTAATGCGAACAGATTATAGTAGTTTTTAGCAGCGACTAATCAGATTTAGTTTATCACTATAAAAGAGAATTATCCCCACTTTTTCTCTCTATGCAGAAAGCAGTACATCCCTCGACACTGTTGTCAAAAGAGGCCTACAGGGATTACAGCTCCTTCGCCCATATCATACATGATTTGTCAGAGCAGGCTGAAGAAATTCAGGCTGCTGAAAAAGTTTCTATGAAGGTAAGTGTTTCTCAAAAAGATGTATGTTGCTAAACTATGATTGCATTTGTTTTGATATAAAGCTATTTTATTTTTCACAGCAAGTCCTCCTGGAGCCCAGTGACTTCAAGGCAGTGAATTTCAAGTCCTATGCAGAAGGTTGGTGTTTGATTTTTATCCTTTTAGGTCTCTGAGCTTAGAGGTCCAAGACTTTGGAGACAAGAGATCTTGGTGCTGAAATTACAGCATTTTACTTCACCCACCAGGGGAATGACCTTGAATTTTTTATTTTTTTTTATAATTTTGATAAGACTCCCTCCTTCCCTCAAACAAATAAGGATCTGAAGACTTCTGTCAGCCTAAATGCAGTGCAAAAACATAAAAAAAATTACAATACAAAAAAAAAAAAAAATCTGAAAGTAAAAGAACATTTCAAATGCAATACAGAAAGGTTTTCTGGTTAGAAAAGAAAAACAAAAAAAAAACGGGTCCAATAAAGCAGACATGGTCGTCTGCTGTATTTTGAAGCTGTTTGTGGAGGGTTAGATTTAAGTAAAGCAGACAAAATAATTGTGGCATAAAAAAGGATAAACGCTAAATATGCACTTTAGGTCAAATAACTCAGTGATGGATCTGTGAGGCCATATTTTTCCTCAGCCCATTTGTGAGATAAAATGTTTTGAGTGTGCCTTTTCTCTGCTTAAATAGTTGTGATTGTTTAGAAGCGATGTTCCAGTCTCTGCTGGAATGTAGGGAGTTGAAGCAGGGGTGATAAAAAGTTTCGTATGCACTTTCCTCTCTACTCTAAACAAGGGTGAAATATAAACATGTCCTTATTGTGTTCAAGGTTCTCACATCCTTCTTCGTGTCAGTGTAGAAGACAGTTGATGTCATGAACGGAAAACAGTTCTGAAATGTTTATCTGGCTAAATTTATGTCCTTGATTAATTGAAGTTGTTTTCCTTCTTTTGTTCAAGTGTGTGAGAAAGCTCTTATGTGCAGGGGGTGGGTTTAGTTTCATGGGGGAGTGTGCTGGGATTCTGAAAAGTATAAATGTGTTTAGGATGGTTAAGTCAGAGCTGTTCTACTCTCCGTCCCATCTAAGAACGTTAAATAAATTTGAATATTATTTCTGTCACGGTTTTAAGGGTGATTGACCCAAATGCAGAAACTGTCGGAGAACAAGGAGCCGGTAAAGATGTTTATTAGACTACAAACAGGCAGGAAAGGCTCACTACACAACCTGCAGGCAGGGAATAGAAAGTCCAAGTGAGGAGCACGCCTGGTATGGATTATCTGTCTGCGACTCACTGCCTTCCGATGGGAGGAGATGGCTGAGTGACAGGTGGGTCAGCGGATGGAACACGGGCGGGAGCCCAAGCAGCGCCGCAGCAGTTTCCAGGAGAAGCTGAAGAAACCAGCGTGAACCCAGGAAGGAGGTTCTCTATGGGAGAATTATCCTGCCATAATGCAAGAGCACATAATTTCAATTTGAGAAAAGAATTTAATCTTCTTGCACTCAAAACTTATAATGCTCACACTCAAAGCATGCGCTCTCTCTCAAATATTTTCTCTTCTCTCTCAAATCTTTGTTTCTTCTCTCAGATTTAATGCTTCTTGCACAGATATTTTCTCCTCTCACTTGCCTTCTTCTCTTCGCGCACAAACCACGCTCTGCTCGAGTCTCAGTTACGCTCGCAAACCCGTAGGCTCTGCTTGCGGATTTTTTTTGCGCTCTCAGATTGGATCGGATCGTCGCCTAGCAACCTTTCCAGCTAATAGAACGACAGCCTCGGAAAGGGTGTGCTAACTCTACTGAGTGTGCCTGTGATAAACCTTACCGACAATAAAATGGCTTTTTAATTTAAAAGCTATCCATTTTCAGACGTGACGTGATGTGAACAGAAACCTCCCGCCTCAGAGTTGCTCGTCAGAAAAAAAAAAAAAAAAAAAAAGTTTGCTAGTCAGGACAGATGCTAATTCTGCCTCCAGCAGAAATTAAGTGACTTTTCATTGGTGATTCTTGAATCGCCCTTTATTATTTCCTTTTTTTATTTTCCTGATTGTTGTTGTTTTTCAGCTTCTTATTTTAATAGCTTTTAAATTAAAAAGCCATTTTATTGTCGCTAGGCGACGATCCGATCCAATCTGAGAGAGAGCAAAACAAATCCGCAAGCAGAGCCTACGGGTTTGCGAGCGTAACTGAGACTCGAGCAGAGCGCGGTTTGTGCGCGAATAGAAGGAGGCAAGTGAGAGGAGAAAATATCTGTGCAAGAAGCATTAAATCTGAGAGAAGAAACAAAGATTTGAGAGAGAAGAGAAAATATTTGAGAGAGAGCGCATGTTTTGAGTGTGAGCATTATAAGTTTTGAGTGCAAGAAGATGAAATTCTTTTCTCAAATTGAAATGATGTGCTCTTGCATTATGGCAGGATAATTCTCCCATAGTTCTCTTGTCCGGCTCAGTAGCACCAAGGGGGCGGGAGACAAGTTAGAACCAGGAATCCAGAACATCAGACAAACAGGAACGAAGATCTGTCGACGGTACAGAGGCCTCGGTGTACCACGACGGTTTAACACTCTGGCGTCCTTCAGCTGACTGAACACTCCTCTTAAGCTCAGCAGAGCAGCCTCAATGAGCTGCAGGTGCAGGACCACGCCCACCAGTCAACAACAACCACCTGTGGAAGAGAGTGAGCAGAGCACAGGATCCTGACAATGTGTTGCAAGAAATGCTTCCAACTCAGTTTCCTAACTTCACAGATCCATCCTTCTTAAGTTAAATAAGAGTTTCTGAGAAGGGCAGTCAGTATGGACCCTCAATATGCATCAAGTGCTTTATAGTGACCCGAAAAGTAATTTAATAAATCTCCTGTTAGCTAATTCTTTGGTCAAAACTGGAACGATGTTGCTTTAGAGTTCAAACCCACATTAAAGCTTACTAAAAAATCTCTAACTAAAAATACTACATTAGATCCCTGGTCTCATAAATGATCTAAACCAGGGGTGCCCAACATTTTTTAAACCAAGATCTACTTTTGAAGTTGATGGCATGCCGAGATCTACCAAGCCAGACACAAGGGATGGCAGTATTTGTTTTTTATTTGCACAGGTGGAGAATAAACAGTAAGTCCAACAAACTGGGAAATGATCAATTGTGTCAAAAAACAGAACTTAACAATCTCATAAGAACTTCACACCATATCACTCACTCACTCACTCACTCACTCACTCACTCACTCACTCACTCACTCACTCACTCACTCACTTTCCCTTTTTATATAAACTCAACTAGCATGTCTCCCTCCCAAAGCCCCCAGTCAGCATTCAGGCCTTCTCTCACACTCTACAGCATTACCATACAAGGTGATGCTGCCGTGGAAAATACCCTCCCAACGACTTAAAATTGGTGCTAAGTCTTATAAAAATTCTAAGTTCTTAAAAAACAGTTGAGAAGTCTTCAAACAATGATCAAAAATCAGGCAGAGGCAGCTGGGTCCAGGTCCTGAGTGGTTTATTGCAAAATACAGGTCAAACCACCCGAGATGCGTACCGGTCCACATCTGACTTACATGCAGGAACAGTCCCACTTACATACACTCAAGGAGCATTATTTTTAAAGCCTTTCTTTTGATCTATCAAAGCCTTTTCTTTACACTTTCATGGTGACATTTATTGCAGTTAAATCAAAACTCAATATGTCAAAACAACGCTTTCATCCATTGTGACTTATGATTATAACATTTCATTAAAAGGGTCAGCATAACCTCGAAGCTCAAAAAATCAGTAACACATCGCTTTTGCATTGCTCAGTACCGCACAGTATCGCTTTGAATATGACAGCTCATATATCACAATTAGTGCAGCTGGCCTGTGCAACCTTGATATGTCCAAATAATTCATTTTTAATGAGTGTGACTTCATCATTAAAAGGCCTTATCTCTGTAGCTCTGCAGTACCAACACCTTGGATTCAATCCAATATTTCTGTCCCCTTTCTAATACCTGCACCTTACTTGGATCCCAAAACTTCAAAGGGCCAGCTGCAGAGAGCCTTACACACACTGCTCTCTTTCTCTCTCTTTGGCCTTAATAGCGTAAATGTATTTATTGTGAAACAACTCTATATGCATTGTAAAACATTTAATTCCATTTTATTCTAATCATTGGTGCAGATTAATTCACTACAATGCTGGAGTCAATCTGGCCACCATATATCAGCATGAGAATATCCCTTTTGGCTAACTCACAAAGAAGAGCGAACAGATGTAAAATTTAACAGATGTAACAGTTATTAAAAACATAAAATTAAAATAAATTAATTGTTAGGGTTGTTAAGTTTCCCCAACTTTAACCTATAAAAAATGAAATAAAGACAGTGCAAGATTTTTCCTGACAGTGCTTTGCAAAGGGGAGATAGGCAGGGTTGAAGAATCAATCCGCATCTCCGCTTGGCTCGACACTTGCCGGGCTTTTTATTGAGCAGTCAACACATTACAACAGCAGGCGTTAGTTTCGATTACGCAATCTCTTAGACATAGCATGAACTTTTAAGATAGGGAACTTGTCTGGTTTCAGTATACGCTTTATAAAAGGTGTCGGGGTTATGAACTTTTACTTGTGTTTCTCAAATGAAAAACAAGATATCATTCTTGCAAAACATTTGACCGTCTTATGACCTTCATACACTATTTCCAGTGATGAGATTAACATATAAAAAAACAAATGATTGAGAGCAATATAAAACATATAAATGAATAAAATGATAAAAACAACAGAAATCATAATAACTCCAACATTAATCTTCAACAAAACCAATGTAGAAGAGAAAACGGTCACTGCAATTGGGGACAAAGATGGTCCGAATTAAACTTTGGATTCCACTCTCACCTGATAATATTTTAACTTTTTTTTTTTATGTCTATTTAGCTTTGAAGAGCATGGAAAACATCACGAAAAGCAGCTTAACGGTTAGCATTAAGCCAGGGATCAAGCTTGGTATGTATAACATCAGCCTTGTGTGGTTCTGTCACACACTTCTCTGTTGATTATATAAAAAGAATGAGTCTTTTTTAAATGTCTTAACTTATTAGTGTTTGAAATTATTATTTTTTTTGTGTATTTTCCCCCCTTTTTTAGAGCATCAACCGAAGAAGCAGGACACTGCTCCATCAACTCAGAGGGTCAGATGCTCACTAAGCTGCCAGGTGATCAATCATGATACCTTTGCCTTTAAATATATGAAGTCATTTTTCCATTGCAAATTTCAGCTCCGCACAGCTTTCCTCCGCTCCGTCTCTCCACTCTGCAAAGAACCAGTTGCATTTCACTTGACCCTTTAACAGAGCTATGGCTGTTTCGTTCGAAATTAACTAAATTAACACTGCTTTTAATAAATATTGTATTAAGTAAATATTCAAATAAAAGATAATGTATACTTTAGATGACTTCTCCATAACCAAAACCACTGTCCCTAACGATAGGCCAATGAAACAATTGTGCTCTTTTCAGCACACAAGCTGACATTTACTCAGTGAGTGCTAGATATTTTTTCCCACAGAGCAGTGTTAATTTTGACAGCAAATTCTGATTTAGTCTTAGTCTTTTGAATAACACACCATTTAGTTTTAGTCATATTTTAGTCATCTGAAATCTTTTAATCTTAGTCTAGTTTTTGTCGACTAAATGTCAAATGAGTTTTAGTCTTAGTCTAGTCTTTTAGTTTTAGTTTAGTCTCAGTCTAGATTTGAATTAGACTTGAATTTCCCCTTGGGGATCAATAAAGTATCTATCTAGATTTAGACACAGATTGAACAGTTACAGATACAAAACATGTATTTTATTTTGAATTTCAAAAAGATTAACTGTGGCTTTGCTCCCTGAAAGTTTAGCGCAAACACGGCGGTTAATCAAATAAAAAATAACCTTGTATGCTTAGCGTGTAAGCTTACCTTCGCATGTATCTCTGGATGAGTCGTCTGCAAATGCCGTTTCAAGTTGGTGGTGTTTTTTCTGGATATTTTGGCTCCACACGGTTTGCAGGCTGTCTTGTTGTCCTTAGTGTCATATGTGAAGTGTGCCCAGGTATCAACTCTTCTTTTTCGCCCTAGCTGTTGTAACATGTCTATTATTCAATTGATTTTTGAAAGGCTACTACTGCTACGAAAATGCTGCTTCTATGCTTCAACCATACGCGCTCTCTTCTTCTTGTCTTTCTTCGCACAGCTTTATGGCGCATTACCGCCACCTGGATTTCTTTCTATGGCGGTTGGCAACTAACTTTTGATTGGATTTCTTCCCAACTTGTCCCATAAAAAAAGTAATTCTGATAGGATCACCATTCGTCCCTCCCTAACCTCTTGCTCACACTCTCTGGTGCGGTTACCATGCCGACGGAGACCGCAACTCCCGCACACCCCCTCTCACACCGCCCTTTTGACTACGGTGCGGTGCGGCTCCGGCAACAGGTCCGGAGATTTAACTCGCGAGAACAGAAGTTCACTTGAGTTCATGTAACTTCACACGATAACATGGCCCAAATAAGGATATTTGCGAGAGCTTGTTGCGGAGGGCTCCGGCACGCCGCAAGGATAGCTTTCTTGCTGAATTTTCTGCAGCGCCGGAGTGTCTCGGTAACCGCAGCGGGACAGCTCAGCAGCCGGTGAGAGAGGTTTACGTCTTTTTAATGACTTGGAATCACTGCGGCGTCGCACCCACCGCACCGCAATGGTAAGACCGGAGTCGGTGTGAGCCGGGGGTAATAGTTTAGTCTTGTTTTTATTCGTTGACTAAAGTGTCAGTTATTTTCGTAATAGTCTTAGTCATCATATCTCACTTTTTATTTAGTTTTTATTTAGTTTAAGTCAGTGAAAAAGGTTCGTTGACGAGTATTTTTCATCATAGTCTTCATCAACAAAATTAACACTGCCACAGAGGGTTGTCAACCTAGTGGTTTTTAACAGTTATGCCATTGTACTAGAGCAATTATCCTGTTAGGGTGACGATCCCTTGTGCGGGTTAGGGAAAGGTGAAGAGAACAGCAGCTATTGAAATGTATTTTTATTCTTTTCTTTAGATGATGATTAGTAAATACTGCAATTATATGTTGGGTTGACCTCCGTTCATTGGGATTCTTAACCTCACTGTAATGGTCATGAGTTGTTCTTGCACGTTATCAGGGAAAGCATTCCCGTTTATCTTCATGTGGCCGGTCGGAGAACAAGATTCTCTAAATGTCACTTTTTGATGTTATTGGCTCTATTCGTACCAGCTTCTAAGCATGATTTTAAATAAATCCAGTCAAGTACAGGAGGAAAAAAACAAAAACTGTAACAGGACTGCTCACAAAATGTCTTGAGTGGAGTGGAACTGGGCTGAATAGTTTGTGGCAAAGAAGCTTTTGTAAACAAAAACTAATATTTTTCCTATTTTCTTGTGCTTTCTTTTCTTTTAAAAAGAACTGCAGTTACAAATGCACCAATTTCCACAAGTTTTTTAACCACCTATCCTGGGAAGAACATGCGATGGTAAATCATTATTTTTACCCCAAATTCTAAAAAAATATAAGTTGTTATATTGGACCCCCTAAAAATTTGAATCATCCACAGAATATGGAGGAACCTATTGTTGCAGGTAAATGTCACTTTCATCAAATCGAAATACTTGTTCTGTGTGTTTATATAATTTAAATATAGATATTTTTTCCTTTACAGCTGGGAGAAATGATGACTATGAGCAATCAGGTAGTTTTAATCTTTCTCCTCTGTTTATTTCTACACTTGGTAGTAGTTAGTGACTTTGTTGTTATATTGGCTATAGTTGGGGTTTGATGTAGATTGATGTAGTCTTTATTAGTTAAACAAAGATCAGTTGGAAGTTGAATGCATAATGTCATCAATAATGCAGATATTGTGATAATGCAAGCAATTTTTTGAAGCTGTAAACCAATAGTTACAAGAATTTGTCCATCAGCAATGTCTGCCTGCAACTTCAATCAAAATCTTTACTAAATCTAAATCTTAACTAAAGCAAAGATTCAGCTTTACATTCTCTCACTTTAAAAATCTGCTGTCTTTAAAAAATGTTTATGTCTTGATAGGACAATTTTTTCTGGGCATTTTTCCATATGCCTTGAGCTGTCTGAAGGCAAATCGGCCTATTGTCGGTAAGGGAGCTCTATATTTACGTACTGTGATATACCGGAAACGTAGAAAAGTTTTAATATTTTATTTTTGTGTTTTTTTCTGTTTGTTTGTAGGAACATCACTGGTTGTGACGTGCATTGCGTCACAAACAAAGGCAAAACCATTTTATCTATGCTTTGCTTGTCTGATGTCCTTTCCTCAGTCTGAACTTGGGGATCATTTTGACTCCAAAAAGCACATCATAAACACTCAGGTAAGATCTAATAGAACAAGTTGTTTATTTATTTATTCTTAATTTCTCTTAGTAGCTGAAGCGACTTTTACTACATGAAGTACTCATTTTCCTGGTAACTTTCATTTGTAGCAGTCATATTTATCTTAACCCTATTTGGGCACTTAATTTATTTTAATCCTTTAAGATCATAGATATATTTTTAATGATTCAAGACTGCATCCATTACATAATCTATACATGACTCTTATTAAGGCCTCCTAACCTGTGTGAATACTTTCTTCTTTGATTATGAGTTTAATGTTTATGGTAAAGCATGAAAAGATTTAAACTTACTTTGAGAAAACATTTGAACTCTGTTATAACATGTATTAAAATGACCGGCTTGTTGTTTTCTTCTTAGCTGTGTCAGAATCCCTGGAAGCTGCCTTTTGCGTGGGAGGCTAACCTGGATTACACAGCGCTGAAGGCAACCACATGGAAGGAGGAGGTGGAACAGAGCAGAGATACGATCACTCTGAAGGTAAACCACTGATTTCTCAGCAGATGTGAATATCTACAGCTTCCAATGAACGTGATAATGTGCTTTTCCTTTAAGTGCTTTTACTTTAACATACAGTTTTGTGGTTCTTTTAGGTTTTTGACGTTCCGCACTCCATATTCTTTTCTGTTGACCATTCCAATTTCTTGGAAGGTAAAAATTAACCTCAGTTCAAATGTGGAACAGTTTTGATTAAAGCAAGCATATTTTCATTGTTTTTGCATGTAGTAAAGGTCATTCTCAAGGGAATCGCCTAATACTTACAACGCTTCGTTCTTGTTTTGTTTACAGTATGGGAAAGACTTGAACCGCACCGATCCGTCATCATTCAAAATGGTTTGTAAATAATATTAATAATGAAGTATTCAAAGTCATCAAATTGTTTTCACATGTGTCCTCATCTAATGTATTTCTTTGTTCTTAAAATCCTTCTCAGTTCCCCAAGCTGAAACGTACAGCCAACTTCCACAGCACGAAAGATTTCCTCTGCTTGGTGAGTGGCCTGCTCGGAGTACTGGAAAGTATTGGTTTGAAAAAACAAACAGATAAATCTGGAGAACCTTGAGCAAAAGTTCCTATATACTGGGTTTTATCAAATTACAGCACCCTCAACAGTTATTGCACTTCCTGTTAAGACTAAACTATTCATTATTATCGAAAAACGATCTTCCAATGACCATTTTTGTTTTGCACTTCATACAGTTTACGCTCTGAAGGTTTTAATCTGCCTCGTCAGCCTAGTTGAGATAATATGAAGTGACTCTACTTTATTGGCACCACGGTTTGTGTACATTAGCTAGTAACTTTATGCTTTTGATATAGATTTAATAACAAAACTTTACTTTTGTATTTGCATAAAAACACCATGCAGTTACACCATGACAGTATCCAGAAGCACAAAAAAAAAATGTTTGAACATAATAAAACAGAGCCTCTTGAAGTTATATGAACGCTTCTCATGCTTTCTCAACCGCTGCAGGTCCTGCTTTGGACCATTACACATCAACGTAACTGACCGACTCATTTTGAGTCACTGTCAAACGGTCAAAACAACACAAAATATCTTTTTTTCTTCTTCTTTTTACTGCGGGAAAGATTAGCAAACAGTGATATACAGGTGGTAGTGAGTATACCCACTTCTTTATATTTTAATTGAACTCTGAAGCAAAGAACAAAAAAATTCACCAAATTAGAAAAATTGGTTGAAAGATAAACTTTGATTCTTGTCCTGCTTTGTTTGTCACAGTTTTAGTTTGTGAAGGCTTTGATATACGGCAGTGTACTCCCTTAGGCAGCTGTCAGTTTGCACGTTAACGGATGCGTGTCATGAGCAAATCGACTTATACAATCGACTATGTCAAATGAGATATCTTTCTCGTTGCCCCATGAGAGGCTTTGATGAAATAGCTACGAAAATGTAAGCAATGGATTTTTTTTTTTTAAAGATAAGAAATTGTTTGTTAAATGCTCTCCTTACATTAAGTTTAAAAGGAATTTTCTTTTATTTTTGTGAAGCTTTAACTGCTGCACTGAAAGGTGAATTTGCATCTCATTTATCTCTTTTGAACGTGTAGTATGCGTGTGAGATCATTTCTCATCCCTGCTGTCACACAAAGTTTCTGTTCTATTGGATTAAATTGAACAAATAAGGCAATAAAAGTGAAGTGCGCGTTTGGGGCCCTGCTCTCTTTTAATTTGGTTTCTTTTATAAACCATACAAAACCATTCAAGGCTACATCATTTGAAATCCATAAGGTGACTTTGGAGGTAGATGCACTTAATAATCCCAGTGATGCATAGTGTTGATTAGGACTGTAATTGTTGTGTTTTTGCAGGCAAACAGCACCTCGTGACACACAACCTGGTTGTGAGTGAAAACAAGCAGGTGATGGGAAGTTTGTGTTTGCTCTGTGAAAGGAGGCTCACAGGCAATGAAATGGATGCTCATATCTTCAGTCGGGAACATGTATCAAAATTTCTGGTCAGTTTCCTTTTATTTTATTTTACCTGTTTGGCATTGGATCAACTGGAAAGTTTAAAAACAAAAAAAAACTGTCCTGATCATAGAATAAATATTGTATTACATTAATATTGCAGGACAATGAAAAACGTTTGGTTTTCTAACATAACCCCAGTTCTTAGAATAATATGAGCGAGGTGTCTCGCTATGGGATGCAGCCTCCTGCAGCCCTGATAGAAGCATCTATCTCAATCTGCCAATCCTGATTGGCCGGTGGAAGTGCCCGTCATACGCCACGCCCCGTAGCTCCGACTACTAAAGCGTGTGCGGATCACGGCACTCCAATTCAACAAGCAAACCTCTTCTCGCCGCCCTGCAAGAAGGGTCGTCTGGCGAGACACCTCGCTCATATTATTCTAAGAACTGGGGTTATGTTAGATAACCAAACGTTCTTTTTCATAATATTCACTCGGTGTCTCGCTATGGGATATGGTAGCTCCCGTATTGTCAGACAGCTTATCGAACAAGAACCGGCCGATGGGGAAGGTCCACAAGGTCAGTTATGACTCTAGGACCGCACTGGCCACGCACGGTCCAGACACGTCAAGCATGTAGAATCGGACAAAAGTCAGAGGCGAAGACCAATTCGCCGCTGAACAAATGTCCTGAACGGACACTCCCCGAAATAAAGCCCAGGACGCAGCCATCCCGCGGGTAGAGTGTGCACGCAGACCCGCCGGGGGCTGCAGACCCCTGCTTCCATACGCCAAAGCTATAGCCTCCACCACCCAGTGGGCGAGGCGTTGCTTTGTGATCGGCTGCCCCTTACGGGGCTCCGCCCAGGAGACAAAGAGCTGATCACTCATCCTGAAGCTCTGCGTCCTGTCCATATAAGAGCGCACGGCTCGAACAGGGCACAGCGTGTGCGCTCGCCGTTCACCTGGGGGGGCGGCGAACGCCGCTAGCTCGATCGGTGAACAAGAACCAACCACTTTAGGAACAAAGGCCGGGTTGGGCTTCAGAACCATACGCGTGTATTCCGGGTCGAACCGGGTACATGCGGGGCTCACAGAGAGCGCATGAATGTCGCTGACTCGTTTCGCAGAGGCCAGGGCCAGTAACAGCACTGTCTTGAGAGACAGATGTTTAAGACTGGACCCCAACAACGGTTCAAATGGGGGTCCCTTAAGCCCCTCCAGAACCACCGACAAATCCCACGGAGGCAGCAAAGGTCTGGAGACGGGGAGGAGCCTGCGGGCGCCCTTCATAAACCGACAAACCAAAGGGTGTTGGCTCGCCGTTTTGTCTCCAAATCCTATATGGCGTGCTGCTATAGCTGCCAGATAAACCTTAACCGTGGAAAAAGCTTTTCCTTTATCAATCAGTTCCTGTAAAAACGACAGAATCGCTGGTACAGAACACTGAAAAGGAACGTAGTCCCGTTCAAGACACCACCGCTCAAACAGTCCCCACTTGGAGCCATATAGGTTCCTAGTGGAGGGAGCCCTGGCGTTTTGGATAGTATTAATTACACTCTGAGGGAGCCCGGCAGTGGTTAAATTAAGCCACTCACGGGCCAGGCCCACAGCTGCAGTCGCTCCGGGTGTGGGTGGTACACTGTCCCCGCACCCTGCGAGAGCAGGTCCCTGCGCAGCGGCAGCTCCCAAGGCTGGGCGCACAGCATCTGGAATATCTCCGCCAGCCAGTGTTGCGCTGGCCAGTGCGGAGCTATTAGGATCAGTCTGTGGTTGAATGCCCTCACTCTGGCGAGAGTGGGGGGTATCAGGGCCAGCGGTGGAAACGCGTATAGCAGCTCGTGCGGCCAGGCGTGCGCTAATGCGTCTACGCCCAGAGGGGCATTCAGAGTGCTCAGAGAGAAGAACAGCTCGCATCGAGCGTTTTCCCTGGACGCGAACAGATCTATCTGAGCGCGCCCGTAGCGCGCCCATATCTGCTCCACGACCTGTGGGTGCAGCGTCCATTCCCCGTACACTGGCGCGCCTCTGGACAGCAGGTCCGCACCCGTGTTCAAGTCTCCCGGGACGTGCGTCGCTCTCAGGGAGAGAAAGTGGGTACTGCTCCAGAGAATCAGGTCGCGCGCCAGATTGTGCAACATGCGGGAGCGCAGGCCCCCTTGGCGGTTGATATACGCCACTGTTGTCGTGTTGTCCGTCCTCACCAGGACATGGTGACCCGAGAGGAATGGGAGGAAGTGTCTCAGAGAAAGAAACACCGCCGAAAGTTCGAGAAAGTTTATGTGAAGGCGCTGGAGGGCCTGGCTCCAGCGACCCCTCACAGACCTGCCCTCGTGAATGCCGCCCCAGCCTGATAGGCTGGCATCCGTGGTTACCACTTTCCTGGACGAGACGGTGCCCATAGGCACCCCTTGGGTCAGGAAGGACGGGGCTCGCCAACAGCGCAGAGCTGTTATACAGTCCGCTGTGACCGTTATCCGCCGTGCGCCATGACGCACGGGGTCCATTCGGAGCGAAGCGACCCAGCGCTGAAAGTCCCGCATGTGAAGGCGGCCGAGGTGAATCACGAGGATGGCTGAGGCCATCAGACCCAGCAACCGAAGGCACAGTCTGAACTGGACAGACCTGTGCAGACGGAATTGTGACAGGCACGTTCTGAAAACCGTCACTCTTTCCTCTGACAGGCGGGCTGTGAACGGAACAGAGCGCAGGGATAATCCCAGAAAGCATATCTCCTGCGTTGGAGATAGGTGGCTTTTTTCCATATTTATCACAAAACCTAAATCCATCAGGTGTTTTGTGACAATGTGTGTGTGAACCCTGGCTTCCTGTTCTGACTGCGCTAACAGGAGCCAGTCGTCTAAATACGTGGCCAGACGTATCCCCCGGCGTCTGAGCGGGGCTACCGCGGCCTCTGTGCACCGTATGAAAACCCTCGGACTGAGAGACAGACCGAATGGTAGAACACGGTATTCGTAACACACCCCTTGAAAGGCAAACCGGAGATATTGTCTGTGAGGGGGATAAATGGGAATGTGGAAATACGCGTCTTTCAGATCCACGGACGAAAACCAGTCGTTCGGTCTTACTAGACGCAACAGAGCTGCATGTGTCAGCATCCTGAACTTGTATTTCCGCAGGAATTTGTTCAGGGCTCTTAAGTCCAGAATAGGGCGGATTCCTCTCCCCCCCCGTTTGGGGACGAGGAAGTATCTGGAATAAAACCCTGACAGACTCTGTTCGGGAGATACGACAGAAACTGCTCGTTTGTCTATCAGAGAGAGAATTTCCTCCCGTAAAACTCGAGCTGATTCTCCCTGTGCATGTGAGTGTATTACACCGGAGAAGCGGGGAGGGACAGTGGCGAATTGAAGCCTGTATCCCCGGGAAATTGTGCGCAGCACCCACGGTGGAGCTGCTGCTGCTCTCCAGCTTTCCCATCTGAGAGAGAGCGGGGGAACATATTGCGGCTCCTGCCCCGCGCCCCCCTGTGGTGGAACCGAGAAATGATTCTCGGGCACCACCGGAGGCACGGTGGAGCGCTCTGCTCTGCTCCGCGGGGACGGCGGTGCCCGTCCCGGGAGCAGAGCTGCAGGGGGCTGAGCGGCCACCCTGCTTATAGAGAGAGCATCGTCTGTTTTGGCTTTTTTTATTATCTGCACCCTCGGCTCGTGGCCTGGCTGTGACAGATTTATTTTTATTTTGACACCATTTTTTCTTTGAACAAGGGTGTGTGACTGTGCTTTTGGACATTCCGCTCAGGGCGCAACCGCGCAGACCTCCGGGGCGATGTCCTTCTCCTCGCAGACCGGCTCTGGGATGGGCAACGGTGGCGTGGGGTGCGCACAAACAAGCCAAAACGGTGGGCCTGCGCAACGGGGAACAGCAGGCTGCACCAACTGAGGAACTGGCGGCTGTCAGGCCGCCCTCTTTTTCTTCCTCGCCTGTGGGACCGAGCTCGCGGCGGCTGTGGGCGGCGGCAGCGTAGCGGTCGTGGAGGCAGGTTTCCCCTGCCAGCCGGCTCCGCGCTCCTTCCTCATCGGAGGGGGCGGACCTGGCGGTGGTGGCCGTCTTGGTACCTTAAAACGCGGCGGCTGGGAGGCTGCATGCGCAAAGGTTTTGCGTTGCACCGGAGGTGAAGGCGCAGGGGCTTTCCGAGGGAGACAAAGTTTGAGGGCCTCGTTGTCCTTTTTCTTTGCCTCACATCTTTGCTGCATTGTGGCCAATGCAGAGCCGAAGATGCCTTCAGGGACGATCGGCATATCCAGGATGTCATCCCGCTCCCTGTCGGTCAGGTTAGCGAGACTGAGCCATCGCGCTCGCTCCTGGACGACGAGGGTTGCCATCACCTTCCCTGTGGCCTGGACCGCGACACGTTGGATACGGAGAGACAGGTCCGCGATGACCGCCATCTCCTCCCACGCATCCGGGTCTTGCTCCTCAGCAGACGCGCCAAACAACTCCGCTTGGTAGGCAGTGAGGATGGAGAGGGCGCTGAGGGCTCTGGCCGAGAGGGCTGCTGCTTTGTATGCCTTTTCGGTCAGCGCAGACTGGAACCGTTCGGGCTTAGCTGGCAGCGTCGGGCGTCTGGGGGAAGCTGCAGACAGCTGGCTCACGCTGCCTGGGCAGAGGTGCGCAGCTACCGGGACTTCCACCGGAGGCATGGAGAGGAGGCCGTGGGCGTCCATCGCCTCGCAGTCGAGGGATGCTGCGCCCGAAATAGGGCTCCTGTTGCTGTATGGGCAGCTAGTCCATGTTTTGGAGAGCTCCGTCAGCAACTCGGGGAAGACAGGGAGAAGCTGCTTCACCGCATTTCGTGCCAGGGGAAGCCGTTTGCCTTCGTAGCGGGACCGGGTGGGCTCCGCTATTGCGACCGGTCAGGGAATCTCCAGCTTCTCTGCCGCGCGTTTGCACACGTCGAGCAGGTCCACATGGAGGGAGGGAGCTGGTGAGCTCGCTCCCCTGTCTTCCATGGCGGAAGGGCACGGCGGTTTAGGTCTCTCAGGCTGTGCTGGGGCCATGAAGGTGTCATCCTCTTCCTCGTCCTCTGATATGAGGAACGAGGTGTCGTCATCCTCCTCCATGGGACTGACTTCCAGCACGTCTTCCTCGGGAAACGGGCGGGCATGGAGCTGCTCGCACTGGGCACCCCAGTCGTAGTCAGTCTCCGGGGCTTCCCCAGCTGTGTCCACGTCCTCCTCCGCGGCTGCACCTTGTGCGGCGGTGGGGAGGAATGGATCACGGTCCGAGATGCTAACCTGGCGGGCTAGCCTGCGTCTGAGGCTCTTGACCGTGAACACTTTGCAGTGTCCACAGGAGCCGGGAATTTCTAGGGCCAACCTGGCGTGGTCGACTCCTAGACAGGTACCGCACACCGGGTGGGTGTCTTTCCCTGAAATTTTATTCCCGCAGCCACAAAGACGGTGGTCTCCCCTGGCGTGGGGGTTTTGGACGGCCGCCATTTCCCGACGAGCTGGAGTGCTGGTAGGGAAAGGAACCGTAGCTAGCTGGCGTGCTAGCGTGGCGGGGTCGAGGAAGTAGCTGGTGTGCTAAATGCTCGTCCGACTCGAGCGTCCGTGGAGAGGAGCCGAGAGGGATTCCGCCGTGAAGAGAGACAAAAGGTTACCGGTCCGGTCTGGAGTGAGCGGACAGGGCAGAAGCCAGAGCACAGTGCTAGCGTCCGGCGACGGAAACTAGCAAGGTCCGTCTGTGGGCAGTTAAGCTAGCGAAGGCTCCGACGTGAGATAAGCTCTCAGGTGAGAAGAGGTTTTGAATTGGAGTGCCGTGATCCGCACACGCTTTAGTAGTCGGAGCTACGGGGCGTGGCGTATGACGGGCACTTCCACCGGCCAATCAGGATTGGCAGATTGAGATAGATGCTTCTATCAGGGCTGCAGGAGGCTGCATCCCATAGCGAGACACCGAGTGAATATTATGAAAAAGAACTTTATTTTTTATTATTTATATACTTGCATGTATGAATATTTTCTATAATCTCTTACTATTTTACCTGTTTATGTAATCATTTATAATCGCAGTTAATAATTTATCATCTTGCTCTGCAAAATGTGTGAAAGTAAATTTTTTTTCTTTAAATAACTTTGCACATGATGTAAACAAGTAATTGAGGCAATTTACCAATGCAGTCAGGTTTTCTTTACATTTAAAATGAGAAACAAACCCTACATTACGTAGTTTCCTATTTCTAGCATTTTTTTATTTATATTTAGAACACCCTTTTCAACTTTTATATCTGTTTTTCTTGCTTTTTTAATTTGCCTTCTTATTTACTTACCATTATTGGCTTGCTTGTGTTGAATAAAAATAACAAAAGCACATCACATTTTTTTTTTGGGAGAATTTATTGAAGAAATGTAATCTTTGCCTTTATGGGTTTATTCCTGTTACCTGAAAGAGAAAAGCACAGCCCTGAAGTCTTCTCTTACAGAATCTTTTATACACTTTTCTTGTCCACCCACATCTGTTTCTCTGTTCATGGTTAGAAAAAAAAATTACAATTGGTGATAAATATGTGGAATCTATGGTTCAGACTTTAGATCTAATTTGTGGAGAGAAAACCTTTCTTGTGTCTACTTCAGAATTCTTAATCTCTGCTTCTTGCCCTTGATTGTGCTTTGTGTGCCAGGGTCAGGGGCTGGTCAAAGCGTGGGCCTATCAACGTGTATTAGAATGCTATCTTGCACAGTGCAGCTGCCTTCTGTTTTGGCCTCTAAACAAGTAGACTATGAGTAGTGGAATCAGGATAAATGCATCTTTTCATGTTAAAGTCTGTAGCTGCTGAGATCATTCATTCTTCAGGCCTTGAAATTTTGATACATTTTTTATTATCCAGGCTCTTTTTTGATGTGCTTAAAAATTTTACTTTTTTGCGGTGAATATTAAAACTGTTGGGATATTGTCCAAAGTAAGCAGTTGTCAAAACTGGACTGAAGTTAGTTGCCAGAATAACATGTGGTTTCTAAACTTTGATTTTCATCAGGAATTGTGTATTCTATGTTTTCATGTTTCTTGTTTCTGTGCAGGATGCTTTCCATCCGGGTTCACTGAGTTCCAGCCGTACCGATGCAGAGACACTTCTGGACTTGGCAAAACAGGCAGCACGGGTTCATCCTCAGTCAGACGTGCAGGTATTTCATCTTTACAACTATGGTTCTGTCCAACTGACATCAGGTTTCAGCTATGTTATTTGGTATTAATTTCACCTTCCCTCTAAGAATTTTTACCTGGACGAGCCAATCAAGGAGCCATGCGACTACAAAATAGGTGAGCCTTTCAATTTAAAGAATTTTTTCTTTTTTTCTTGATGTTTTTAACTAGATTTTCTCTTATCAAATGTTCTTATTTTATTCTAGCAAAAAAGATCTTGGCAGCAGTAAAGAGGAGACGAAGAGAAGGAAGCCTTGTTCCGCAAATAAAGTCAAAGTATAGGCTGGGTAAGCCAAAAAAAAAAAAGCCCTGTTGAGAGATGTATGGTACGAAGGTGTGCAGAACTTATTTTTTTACTGATGGTCAGCTAAATGAGGTCAAAGCAATGAAAGAGCAAAATTTTACACTTAGTACTGGTTTTAACAGAGCATTACTTAATGCCTGTATTTATTTTTTTTGTTTGTGTTTTTTATCTTTATTTAGTTTAAAAATGATGTGAAAATATTCTACAAGACACATTTTAGCAAAAGAAACAGTTTCTCACGGCATCAGTTTAGAAGTGACTTTAGTGATTGGTCCTGGATTAACAGCAGAACCGCTGGGTTGGAAAGCCCCACCTAATGGCCCGAAGCAGTGGTCAATGAAATCAAAAAATTTATTTCATTGTTTAATTCAGCCAAACAAAAGAAAACATTTGATTTTTGTGTGAGATTTTGAACTATTACATGTTGCATATGAATGGATCTCTTAATAAAAACAAAGCCTTCAATTTTGATGTTTTTTTTCCCCCCAGTTTTTTTGGTCTAAAAAATATTTTTTTATTCTCAGCAACAATAACTGTGGGGCACCCATTTATTTTATTTTTTTTAAAGGTACTGTATTTTGCATAGGTTATTTAAAACGATAAAGCTAATCCTCTTTTGGATCGCTTGGATGTTTTTAGTAAATTATGCAATTGAAATAAAAGCTGAAAAAAATTATCAAAGAAAATACCTTCTGTTTTTATTTTAAATTTCTTAATTTAGAAATTTTAGTTCAAAACTGATCCTAAATATCAAAATGAAACTTTTCCCTTAAAAGCCGTCTGTTCTGAAGGGCCACACAATTGCCCCCGGGCAACTCTTTAAACAGCCCTGATCTGGAGGATTGTTCACAATCATATTACTATAATATTATACTATAATATACTATTACACTAATACTATATTATTTTTTTGTGCAAATTTAATGTCTTTAATTTTACTAGTGAGGTTATTATCTTAAAGCTGAAATTAAATATACCTTATCTATTTTCTGCATGTTAGTTTCTAGGATAAGTCCAAAAAACACCAACAAACAGCAAGAGACAGATGCCCGGACAAAAAGCCCTGACACTGACGCAAAAGAAAGTGGGGGGAGTGAAGACAAACATGGCAGTGACAAGGAGACGCCATCAGGAGAAACAGAGGGTGCTGCAGAAAAGGAAGGATCCCCAAAAACGAGTCCAAAAGATTTTAAAAAAGAACCTGAGGCAGAGCTGCCAGCAAAGCTGAAAACAGAGGAACCTGTTGATGAAAAACCAAAGGAGGAGGCTGCTCAGAGTCATGAAAATGCTGAAAAGAATGATGATCCACCCATTAAACAAGAAAAGAGCTCAAGTATCAAACAGGAAACAACTCTGCTGAAAGAAAGTCCCCAAAAAAATGAGATAAAAAGGTCAAGTACACCCGAAAAAACACTGAATAATGCAGGTCAAAATGGAAGCATAATGAGCCCAAAGACGCTGCAGCCAGTCTTCAAACAGGAGTCATGTTTTGAAGAAATTACAGATAAGTCAAATATTTGCTCAGCAGTGAAAAACACAGAAACATCTGATGGGGAAGTGCCTGATAAGGACGTTATGGAGAGAGGTCAGTGTTAATTAAACCTGGTTTCATCTTACCTAACTCCATTTATTTCAAAGTTGTCTCCATTTTACTGAGTCTGATTCCTTATAGCAACATTATAAGAAGTAGCTGCTTCTAAAGTCTCCATGCCTGTGTTTCAGTTTCAAGAACCTGCATTGAATGCCGCTGCAGCAAGCATGAAGCAATCTACCTCTGTGGGCACTGTTTGCTTAAGATTCCAAAGAAGGACATCAACAATCACGGAAAGGGAGCCGACCACCCGAAGATGAGCGTACTGGTGAGGATATGCCACAGCCAAGGCTTTAACTTCTTCTAGTCTCATTAGCTAATGAACATCCTTACCATCTGTTGGGAAATGGTGTTGAAAGATGTATTTTAATTTTTCTGTTGTTGCAAATTTATGGTCTGCTATTTGTTCTGACAATTGGTTCTACATTAGTCAGGATTTTTGTTCCTACTTCTATTGGGAATTGTATAAAACCTACAACCAAAGATGAGGCTGGAAAAACCAGCATTTTCTTTTGGATTTGCCGGGGAACAATGAAATATATGGACTTAAGCAGAACACTATTGGTATTTTCTGGTAGTTGTTAAAAGGTTAAAATTTATGTATAAGGCAAAATGGAAAAAAAAAAAAGAAAGATCAAATGAAATAAAGCTTTTCAGTAACCACTGTTATTTTGTCTTCAGGTGGTTCATCTGGAGGAAGCAATGTACAATCAAATCTCAAAACAAGTTTTCCTTTCAGGTGGGATTTCATTAACCTGTAGCTTCTTTAAACGTTGTCTTTTATTCCCTTTTCTGTCACTGAAGATTTTGTGTAACCTGGGTCCTCACTTTTCTGACTTTTCAGCAAGTCTTCGGGATTTCCTCTACAAAGTGATCCAGAAATCGCAGGAACCCAACCTTCTGTTTCAAACCGCTGCCCAAGCACACGTTAAACCAAACAGAGTGTCAAAGAAACCTTCCTGCAAACAAGAGGTCAAGAAGAAGAAACAAGAGGTCAAGAAGGTCAGTCAGTTTTTATACTGATGAAATACACTGGAAATATTAGAAACATGTATATTAAATTGTTGTAGTTTTGAAGAAGCACCCTTGTGGATTTTCTTCAAGTGGCAGAGCACAGATCCTCTGCTTCCAAAAAACTTTCTAAAAGATTTGAAATGCTTTCTTATACATGTGGTCTAACTATGCAGATGTGTAAGAAACTCAAACAGATTGTTTATATCCAGGATAACTTGCTAAGAAAAACATTTTCATCAGGATGCTGAAGTCCTTCCAGCTCTGTACTGTTATTGTCATTACCTTGGAAGCAAAATTAATTATGACGAGATTTGTGAATTCGCAAACTCCCAAAAATGCATCGCCAGAAGCCAGCAGATGCGTTTGGCCTCAATACAGAAATGTTTCAGACCAATGATGTGCAGTGACGTGTTTATCAACGCATCAACCAGTGGTGAAGGGTGAAGCAAAACAAACATTGCTGCACCGGGTTTAGATGGAATGCCCTCTTTTTTTCTATTTATTTAACGGGCAAAAGGATTTGATTTTTGCCTTTGCGGATGAGAAGATGTTTGCACGTTCCCCCCTTAACTCAGCTATTCAAGAAACAAACCAAGCTGCTACTGCTGCTTTGATTGGCTAAAAACTTGACATGGGAAGCAGGTTCAGCTCAAAGAATTGTACTGAATGTTCCTCCCTTTTGCGAGCACTTTCTACAGGAGGCTTTCTAGATTGATTTGTGTAGTTCAGCTTGAAATCAACACCTATCAATCTGGTTTATGCCAGGTTATTGTTGTCTTATTCAAGGCCAGCTCCTCCTCCTCGTGCTGGGTTATAGCTCAAACATACCAGGGTTCTAAGATCTCTTGACCTAACCAGTGTGGAGTAAAAATGAGCACTGAGAGTTGATATGCAAGGAATAAACGGCACACTAACATTTTATAAGGCCAAGGAAGAAATATGAATCCATACCAGTATTAGCCTGCCTAGAGTCCCTTTGAGATCTATTCTGTTGGCTGGGTAGGACTTGCCTGATCCAAGCGTTTCCTAGGACCAAGCGTTTGGCCTTAGGAAACCAGTAGACTAACCAGTAGACAAGTCAACAACTTCATAGCCTGAGGCCATCTTATTCTTGTTGATCATGCCCAATTACGGGTCGCTCTTATCCTCATACAGTTACACTTGTGACTTAGATTAAATACGGTTTAAGTGGCTATAAGTCCCAAAAGATGATGTTTTTAACTTGGGTTTTGCCACAGGCAACCATTAAAGACCTCATGATAATTACATGAACCATGCACCAAGATTATTTTACAACCATCAATACAAGTAATAAAAAGTGGGTTTCATAATCTATTGTCCACACATTTACTTAAATCCTACATGTGACTTCAATTAGTTTGTTTTTTGGAGAAAATTCGTAAAGATCAAATTTAACTAAACATCCCAGCTTATTCCAAGAGTGAATATTAAAGTCACTAGGGGCGGTTTTGGATCTTTTTGGGGAGTTGCCTTGGTGAGGGATTTTTTTAATCAATATGGCTTCTTCTTTTAATAGCAGTGCTCCAATTTCCTGGGCAGTGTCCTAACAGCACAGCACAATGCTTACATGTCTCTTCTGGCTACAGGAGATGTGGTTCTGTCCTTCTGCCTAGACAGGATTGCTCACCATCAACACACCTTAGGCAGGTTGGATCGAGCTCTCTGAAACGGTCAGTCATAACTGACTGATCGTAAGCAGACTTTAAGAGACTTCAGCTCCGGTTCAGCGGGACTCAGAGCTGAGCATACCACGCTGGTTCTCATAGGCACGGAGGATTGTGCTATAATTAATATTCATGCATTTTTAACACTTGTGTTTTTAAAAAATAATAATATTCACCCAAGCTGAAGGTTGAATAACATAAATAATTGGCTTGAAAACAATAAACATGTTGTTGTGCTCATAATTATGTATTCCATAAATGAGAAGAAAATATAATTAACTGGTACAGATAAAGGTAGAAGTTAAAGTGAATATGTTATCCTTTTTTATCTGACAGAAGCTTTGGACATAATAAATATTCAATTATGAGATTTTAAGCACATATGAAATGAGATGTATACATTTTAATATGAATGTATGAGGAAACATAATTGAATTCAACATTTGTGTTCATCAGGATAGAATAAGATAAAATAAGTATCTATAATCAATAAATAAATAAAGCTTTATTTTTACGATTTATGCTTCTAAAAAGCCTGCCTGTTCAAAAATATGATTACAATGCAAACTAAAACCTAATCGTCAAACATAAATTATCGTTATAAATGGAAATATTAAATAGTTTAACAATAATAGGAAAAGTATGATTGCTTTAAAGGCTGTAACACACCTAATCCCATTTTGCGTCCGATCCGACAAGAAATCATGTCGGACGAGGTTGTGTACCCATGATAGAACCAATGATCCCCTTTTAAGCCTTGCAGAAAAAAAAAAAGCGGGACAAAAAGCGCAATTTATCAGTTGTCTTGAAAAAGAAAATAACTTCATGTCATGTTAAAACACCTAAAACACTGTAACACAAGGAAATAAAGACACTGAGTTGGAATTCTTTTTTACTTGCGAGGAGAGTAGTCAGAAACCGTACAGTTACAATCTCCAAAACCACTCTGCCAGCCTCAAAGCTCTCCTAACAATTTATTAGAATCCCTAGTGACATACCTCAGAGCTGCATTCAGGGAGGGGGGAGAAGGCTACAGCTCTCAGATAACATAAAAGTAACAATTCATTTCTGCTAGACCTTGTAGAGAATTAGTGTGCACCTATGATTAAAGTAATATGATTACAGTTGTATGCATGTCATCTGTTACATTGAATAAAGGGCTTGGTTTAAAGGTCTAACCATTTTAACATGGAAAGGTCTGAGCTGTGAGCAGTACAGCTTTACAAATAAGGCTGATTAGATAGTGCACCTTTGCAGGAGTAGACTGTTAATGAATAATCCTAAAGTGCAGCTTTTGCAAGGGTAGGTTTCTAAGGAAAAATGGAATTCTGAGCACAGCAGATGGTTGGGATCAATAATGTTCTGAGTACAGCAACAGAAGGGCAAATGGCCAAGGTCATTTAGGCCTCAGAAGCAGCAGGAAAGTCAGGATAAGGCCGGTTGGTGGAACATTGGTGCAGCTGTACACAGCTTAGTTAAACAAATGTGATAACGGGAGCTGTTGGTTTTAACACACACACACACACCCTGAGCAGTACTAATGTAATGATTTACTGAAACTTTGAACACCCTAGTTCAATGTGAAATGTTGCAAGCATAGATCACTGAATAGTTTTATGTGAAATGTTACAATCATAATTACTGGATGAAAACATTGTTTTAAAATAATAAAAACTAAACTGAAAACTGTGTTTTGAAATAATAATAGCTGGAAAATAATGGTTGATGATTAAATAGCGACATGTTATTATGACTTATAAGAAAAAAAATCATGACATGTAATAAAGTGTTTGTTGATTAAATATATAAAAAAATGTGTTTTGAAAAGGACTTTCCACCGGTAAAATAAAATTAATTAGACTTAACCGAAGAAATGCATGTAAAATGATGAAAAAGAAAGGAGGAGCTTGGGGGAGGAGCCCCATAGCTTGAAATGTATAAAAGGGAAGCTGTTTCATTGTATTGTCAGTTGTTTTCCGGAGAACAGCTCAGTGTGGATGCTGTGTTTTGCAATAAAACACTCTGGACTTGGAAATCCGTGACCTCTGCCTGGTTTTTACATTTTTGGTTGAAGACTCTTTTTACCTTTTGAGAACTTTGAATTTTTATAAAACTTAGTTTCAATTTTTAAGTCGTTAAGAAAGAAAATCCACGACAACCTCAGACTTCAGTCAAGGTCTAGCTGTAGCAGCTGCAGTGTTGGACATCAGAGGTCAGAAGGTTCAATGCTGCGAGTAAGTCAACCACAACTTCCTTAAAGGAATAGTACACCCAAAACATGATTAGCCTTCATTTTCTACTCACCCCCATGCTGAACAACACCCTGGAGTACTTTTTTGATATCTCAAATGCATCTGGAGATCTGGGAGGCTTCTTGCTGTCTGCTGACATTCAAATAATGGAAGTCTATGGCGCCCGAGGCAGAAAGGTCCATAAAAGTCCACAAAAAACGTGTCAATATTCCTCCATACTGCTCGTCCAATGTATTCCAAGTTTCTTGAGTGGGTAGCATCCAGAATTTACTCGAAACGAAGTCATTTAGAATGTTTTTAGAGCATAAACAGTAGTGTATAGGATTTCCTAAAAGTGCGTTCACGAAGCTACGGAAACCGCGGCAGACCAAACCAGACGAAAGTGCGCATTCAGCGTCTGCTCTGCCGATAATGCAAGCGTAGAAGAAGAAATGTGCTGTTTACCTGTGCAAAGAAAGAAACAACGAAAGAAAAATGTCTGAGGACTTCAGTGTTGAGGAAGAGCATGAGTTCTTTGCCGAGCTGAATGCGCACCTTCATCTGGTTTGGTCTGCCGCGGTTTCCGTAGACTCTCGAACGCGCTTTTAGGAAATCCTATACACTACTGTTTATGCTCTAAAAACATTCTAAATGACTTCATTTCGAGTAAATTATGGACGCTACCCACTCAGGACACTTGGAATACATTGGACGAGCAGTATGGAGGAATATTGACACGTTTTTTGTGGACTTTTATGGACCTTTCTGCCTCGGGCACCATAGACCTCCATTATTTGAATGTCAGCAGACAGCAAGAAGCCTCCCAGATCTCCAGATGCATTTGAGATATCAAAAAAGTACTCCAGGGTGTTGTTCAGTATGGGGGTGAGTAGAAAATGAAGGCTAATCATGTTTTGGGTGTACTATTCCTTTAAAAGCAAGCTTACAGATAAAAGGTGATTATAAATGCATACACACAGCTGTATACATTGTAACATTATACAGATACATTTATATACAATTACTCAAACACTTCAGGAGGACAGAAAACAGATATATTATAATGGTGATCCTCTTTGAGCTTCACATAAAAACAAAATAATAAAGGGGAAAAAGTTCAGGTAAGCGAAGCACATTTTCACATTTCTTTCAATATAGTTTTTATGTTTTTAATATAGACATATGAGCATCTGTTTTGGTTTGAGATCCTACATAGTCTTTGCTCTATTGAATGCACCGGTTCTTTTTATTTTTTCATTTTGATAACTTTTCAGAATCTATCCAAGTCAAATGTGGGAAATTCTTTCAATTTGTGTGGGATAGAGTTGCAGTCTCTATACACAGTCATTGTGACATGGAAAAAAATCGGATCGCTGTGGTAAGTGGTATTGAACCGGTGTGTTAAGCCCTTAGGACTGACAAAGCTTTTCCATGGATTTTTGAGGGGGCTGTATAATGTATGTTAGACATGCTGTTAATAAAAGTTGTACCTTTGAAGAGATGACGTTTAATTTCCTACAATGGTAAAATTAAATGATGATCTCTGAGCGTCGTCTTGGGAAAGATTTTTAAAATTTAAGTCTTAAGAAAATGGAAGCTATAAGACTCCAAAAGATATTACCTTGCACAAGCCTGGTGACCGGTGGGATTTTGTATGTTTTTTTTTTTTTTAATAAATGAAAAAGCAAATATCCTGCTAATGTAGGATCTTTTGTCTGTGTGTCTTTTTTTTTTTTTAAGGTGGTGTGTGTTTCAGAAGAGTCTGGCGTGTCTCCAGACACATCTAAAACAGCAGGAGCCATTTGCAAAATGGATCAAGGGAAGCCCAAAACATGCACCCCTGTTGTCAGAAGCGACAAAGCTGGGAAACATCATAGCTCTTCAAGTCCTCAAAGCACACAAAATAAATGCAAACCTGACCTTTCCGGAAAAAAAGCAGCCAAATCTGAAGTGGGAGGGGATTTACCAAACACATTTAACTGTACAACAACTTCTAACAGGCCGTCAGAAATCACTTCCCCCACAACATCCATACCACCAAGCAGTAAAAGCTTCACACCTTCAGACGAGAACAGGACACTGCAAGTTTCCTCAGACACAAGATCTGCAGCGACACATAAACCTGAACATCCTCCTAAATGTGCCAATACAGAATCCAAAGCCCCACCATCACCAGACCTTAAGAAAACATCTTCTGCTGCTTCTAATGCAGCTAAACCACAAATCAAAAGCATAAACACTGGACAATCTATGAAGGCGTCAATAGGGAGAAACCCAGATAATGAAACGGCTGTTCGGAAGAGGAAACTCGCTACCGTTCCTCACCAGAACCCTGAAGAGATCAAGAAGCCCCAGAAAGAATCAAATCTCCCTAAAGTTGGTGAGCGTTAATTTGTCGCTGTTGGATATAACCTCTGTGTGAGCTGGACTCTTTTCAGACTTCTGAATCTTGTTGTCAACTGACAGGGTTAAATCAGCTGGTTTTGGTTTCCTGTGAAAAGAAACAACAGGTCTACTGTCTGCTGTGTTCAGACAAACTGAATTCATCGAGTGCTTATCATCTGACCAGCCGTGTCCACCAGTTCAAATACGTGGTAGGGGAATGTCACATCATCATCTCTGTGTTTAGTTGCAGACTTTAAGAAACTGAATCAATACAAAAAAAGGTACATTTCACCTTTTTTATTTTTTTGCTTTAGAAAATGAAGTATCCTGAATGGTCAGTGAAGGAGCTGGAGAAACAGTTAATTCAGACCGTTACTCTGTTGGCTGAAGTGGAGAAAAAACTGCCTCAAACTCGGAGCATTCAGGTATGCTGCTAATCTGAATCTGCTTCGTTACATTTAGAAAATGGAAAAAAAAACTGGAAAAACCTCCTACCTTAATTTCTCTCTTGTAATTAACATTTCCACTTTTGGTGGTTTTCAGTTCAACATGACTTAAAATAGTTTTTGTTTTTTAATATTTCTGGATACTTTTCCAAGAGCTGACTGATATCTATGTGGATTTTCCGTGATTTAAACATTGCTTTTTAGACAGTTTTTTTTCTTCCTTTTTTATTTCTTTTTGTCATTTTTATCTTTCCTTTAAACAATTTTCTTTTTTATTTAACCTTAACACATGCAGCAGTGAACCCAATGGATGAATAGGGCTGCCAAATATAAGAAAAAATAGATGGATCTTAAATTACTGATCCATCAGCCATACCATAACCTATTTCTTACGTTTTAATATTTTGATATTTATGCTCTGTGTAGTTTATCAAATATAATTTTCCTCATTATATCTCCTTTTTATGCCCTTTTTTAATTTTTACCTTAAATTAAGTTTTTTATTCAAAGGTTTTCAAATTATTTGTCTATTGTGTGCAAACAAAACATTTATGATTAAAGGTTTTATAAACACTTCATGGCTTTTGTTTGGATTTTTTTTTTTTTTTCTTAGAGACTGGAGGTGAAAAAGGATGAATACCAGAAACTGGGAAATCTTCCTGACAACTTGGGTAAAGATGATTTGATTTGAAATTATTTTTCAAACTATAAAATATTATGACGCATCTCCTAAAATCTTGCTTTATTTTCATGTTTTATATTGTTAAAATCTTTTTATTTATTTTTTTTTTATCCAAGTTGAGTTTTTTCCTGTTGACTCTTTTAAGAGATAGTTGTTGTGGTGTTTAGCAGAAAAAAAAATGTTTTTCCATGCGTCGAAAATGTTTATCTTTTATTCATTCTTGGTTTCCCATTTTTGCTGTGTTTTATTTTGGCTTCTCCTGCTCAGCTGTAGAAAAAGTGAAAGCATTGGTGAAACAAAGGGACCTGCAGGCCTCGTCTTCCCCCACAGTTGACAGCACGCTGCATCCTTGCCAAGACATCTCCAGTCCATGTGACGTTTCAAGCTCAGGTGATTGTTCTCTTCATTAGTAGTTTCTCACAACATCCTATCATACTGCAGAAAAATGACCTCATACTGTTTAACCAGGAAACATCCCTTATCCATGAGATAATGTTTATATAGATGTTTGAGTCTTTTATATTTTACAGAACAATGAGCAATAATCAGTGAACCACATTTTAACTCTTAGGGATCCCTGCATTTCACGATGACATGTCAGACTCTGCTGATCATAACCAACCACAACATCAACGGCAGGAGGAGATGACTGGTGAGATATGTGAAAGCATGTTTTTCCTTAGCCTAATTTTGAGATGAAATACTTTGAGTGTGCCTTTTTTCAGCCTAAATATAAGTGATTGTAGAGTCTTGTACCAGTCTCTATGCTGGAATGTTTAAGGAAGGAGTGACAGAAAGCAGTTGCCTCCTCACTCTACTCAATGGTGAGATAAAGAATGAATTCACACAGCCTCCCTCATGCCATGAACACAAGAAACCTGTTCTGAAGTGTTTATCTGGCTAATGAAAATCTGTCCTTGAATAACTGAAGCTGTTTTGCTCCAATGTTCAAGTGTGAGAAACTTCTTTATGCAGGGGTGCGATGGTTCCAAGGGGGAGAGAGCGTGTTTAAATTTGTACACTATAAATGTGTGTGAGCACTGCTGCCTTGCAGCAAGAAGGTTCTGGGTTCGATTCCCGGCCCAGGTTCTTTCTGCATGGAGTTTGCATGTTCTCTCTGAGCATGCGTGGGTTCTCTCCGGGTACTCTGGCTTCCTCCCACAGACCAAAAACATGACCGTAAGGTTAATTGGGTTCTCTAAATTGTCGCTAGGTGTGTGTGTGAATGTTTATTTGTCTCTATGTTGCCCTGCGATGGACAAGCGACCTGTCCAGGGTGTACCCCGCCTTTCGCCCGTAGACAGCTGGAGATAGGCACCAGCACCCCTCGCGACCCCACTTGGGATTAAGCGTGTAAAGAAAATGGATGGATGGATGGATAAATGTGTGTGCTGGGCTTGCCCCTGTCAAAGCTGTGTCTCTCTGTCTGCGGACGTAAGATACGTTTTACCCTTTCTTGCAAGAATCACCTCTGTCAGTTTCTCCACAACTTCAGATATCAAATAATTTGATTACTGAGTTTACTGGAAGTTTCGTGTGAGTGATAAAAGTCTTTGGTTTTTGTCTTAGAAATGGAGTATAACCATGAAGATGATCCAGCTGTGGCCGGTGGTCATTCAGTTAGAGGGAGCAGCTCGGATGAAGAAGACATCCAAGTAGATGAGGAGATTGAGGAGGAGGCTGAGACTTTAATGGAAACCGATCCAGATCAGTGGACTCAAGCTGAAGACATGGCTGGTATGTAGGCAGAAAAAGTGGAATTTGACTGGAGGAATTTCCAGGAAGGAGAAACTTTTTTTTTTTGTTCTTTTTTAGATATTTCTTCCATAAAGATGGTTCCCTAAGTGTATTGCTAAGTTTTCCAAGCAAATTACAAGTCTCTTTATGTATTGTAAGATGTTAAGTATCACCTCTGATCCCCCAGTGGGGTTCCTCCTTGAGTCCATTGATAAGAGGAAAAAAAGGCAAATAGAGTCACTGGATGCTAAACAACTGAACCTTTAAATGGAAACAGGATAAAAATCCAATTCAAGGACATCTTTGGCGATCACAGAGCAATAGAACAGTCACTGCCACCTTAGTGTGATCTAAGGATTTGCAATCTCACTTGTACTTCATGTTTAAACAAACTCTGGTTGCATCTTTGGTATGTTCTTCTGGATACTCTCAGCCTCGTTTTTCCGCTCCTAACAAAGAGTTGTTCACGAGAGAAAAACGTCCTCCCTCCTCACTTGCAGTTATTTATCATCAAAGCAGAAAAACTCCTTTCTTAAGCACACTAAGGTTACAGAGATAATTTTAGTTACAATCACTTTGTATTACATAAGACTATATAGTTCAGCAAATTATTATATTACCTCTGATTAAACTGTCTAATTCCACACGGATAACTCAATCCTGATTGAATACAAATCTCGTTGAGACGGGAATTAAGTTACACATATTTATTTTCATACTGCCTAATTGGAAACCAGCTTTATTCCAGGTTTTTCTAGAATATGTACATAAAAGGATACATTTTTTAAGCTGAAATTTGCAGATAATTATAAAAAGGCAATAATCGGTGCCCAGTGTTTTAAGTCAAAAGTATCTATAAAGTCTATAAAGGGTATTTTAGAAGAAATGCAGAACCATGCATGTAAAGTTAATATGCATTTCTTCGAGTGTAGTCAAGCTATGTGATCTTTCTAAGGCATTTAAAGGCATTTTGAAGATCTCTGAACCTGTCATGAGTTTTTGTAATCTTTTAAGAGGAATATAATCAGTTGGAGAGACAAGAATAGAGAATAAAGGAGGCCAATCAGGGGAAACAAAGGGGGAAGGAAAGTGGGGGCTGTAGCGTCTCATGAGAATACTGTGACAGAATCACGTGATTTCCTTTAAGGTCAATACATCATTTCAAAGCCAGCACAGCGCCTGAATAATTGTATGATGCAGAGAAGGCCTTTTTTAAAAAAAAAAAAAAAAAAAAAGGGCTGTCTATAATTGGGCAGCCAAAGTTTGATAAAACAGCATCCTAGTGACTGGATGATTACTAAAACTTTATTGACCAAATTCCAAAAGTGGTTGTATAAGAACATAATGCTGTCATGAATGAGAGAGACCCTCGGGAAGGGTAGTATCCTGGCTACTAGTAAACCCTACTCACTCCTTAGAAAAGGATGTTGCTCCTGAAAAGAGACAGCTAGAAGGGCAACTTTTTCTGTTTGCCCAGCCAGGTGGATTTCACAGGGTTCCTATATGTGGTAATACTACTAGGTTCCCAGGTTGGTAAGCTGTGCTAAGCACAGGAGAGGCAACAACAAGGTGGCGCCCGAATAGTGACCTCTCAGAGTGTAGAAGTCCTTGTTAGGGGTGATTGGAAATAAAGCTTTTCATAAACCACAACCAGAGACAGTGCAAAAGAGAAACACTGCCATTGGTCAACTCGAGGCCGTCAACCAGGTTATCTGAAATAAACACTAAGAGAAAAGTTAGAGGAATGAGTGCACTCATCCCTGCCCTTAGGCACAAAGGAGAGACAATGGGAAGCATACAGCTAAAGATGGAGGATGTCACAAAGCCTTCTGTGTCTCCAACTAAGGACTTCCTCCTTGTCTTCCTGCTGCTGGGGGATGGATACACCAGCTGGGCACCCATGGTGCAGAGGAGGTTCCATGAGCGACAATGCTATCTGGAGGCTGTTAATATATTGATTAGGAGTATAAAAACTAAACAGAAACCCCCACCTATCCAAAGACCACTGAGGAAACTGAGGAGCGGTTGGAACGGTTGCTGAAAGTCCTGGAAGGCCACGGCACCCATGACATTTAGCTCCTGAGCTTTAGAAATATCTGCTATAGATGTATGTTGAACAGTTATATTTGTACAATATTGGACTTGATATGGACACACCAAGAATATTGATAAAAATTTAGTAAGGTTTGCTTTGAATGTTAGTATTTTATTTTTTTTATTAAATACTAAGATCTGTCGGGACTCTTTTCAATTTGGGAAATGGGACAGTTAAGCAACTTTTCCTGTCTTCTATGTAGATATTGCCCAAGAAGAACAGTTTTCAGATGCCAAGTCTCCACCTCATGTTGAAGTTACAACCGCTCTTCAAACTTCTGGTAAATCTTTCATTTTCTTTCTTATTTTTTTCTTATGTATTCATATTGTAACTTTATGCCATCACTGATTGTTTTGATAAACAATGTTCAAACCCAATAGGGTAAACAGCTGAGGGTTTTCATTCTCCAGTTAGTGACCACAGACTCTATATTTGAATCTTTTGCATTTGGTGTATTTAAACAAAAAATGAGCCACAGCAGCCCAGTCTAATTAAAAGCTGAACAAGAGTATTTATGAATCAATCCATAAAAGTTCACTTCTTAGATTTTTTTCTGTCCAACCGTCACATAAATCTGCCTTCCTTAAATGATAATGGCGCTATTGTCATGTTTATGTAAGTTCATCATAGTCAACAAAACAATGGTAATTTGTTCAAGCTTTTCAAATCTTTCGAAACTGCAAAATGTGGAAAAGTAGTCAGAGAGCTGAACCTCTCTGTTTTCTGTGTTATCAAAGTGCAGCTGGACATTCATTTCATATACAGGTGCTGGTCATAAAATTAGAATATCATGAAAAAGTAGATTGATTTCAGTAATTCCATTTAAAAAGTGAAACTTGTATATTATATTCATACATTACATACAAACTCATATATTTCAGATGTTTATTTTGTTTAATTTTGATGATTACAAATGACAACAAATGAAAATCTCAAATTCATCATATCAGAAAATTAGAATGTTGTGAAAAGGTTCAAAATTGATGGCCCCTGGTGCCACACTCTAATCAGCTAATTAACTCAAACCACCTGCAAAAGTCTTTAAATGGTCTTTCAGTCTAGTTCTATAGGCTACACAATCATGGGGAAGACTGCTGACTTGACAGTTGTCCAAAAGACGACCATCGACACCTTGCACAAGGAGGGCAAGACACAAAAGGTCATCGCTAAAGAGGCTGGCTGTTCACAGAGCTCAGTGTCCAAGCACATTAATAGAGAGGCGAAGGGAAGGAAAAGATGTGGTCGAAAAAAGTGTACAAGCAAGAGAGATAACCGCACCCTGGAGAGGATTGTGAAACAAAACCCATTCAAAAATGTGGGGGAGATTCACAAAGAGTGGACTGCAGCTGGAGTGAGTGCTTCAAGAACCACCACACACAGACGTATGAAAGACATGGGTTTCTGCTGTCGCATTCCTTGTGTCAAGCCACTCTTGAACCACAGACAGCGTCAGAAGCGTCTTGCCTGGGCTAAAGAGAAACAGGACTGGACTGCTGGTGAGTGGTCCAAAGTCATGTTCTCTGATGAAAGTAAATTTTGCATTTCCTTTGGAAATCAAGGTCCCAGAGTCTGGAGGAAAAGAAGAGAGGCACTTCATCCACGTTGCTTGAAGTCCAGTGTAAAGTTTCCACAGTCAGTGATGGTTTGGGGTGCCATGTCATCTACTGGTGTTGGTCCATTGTGTTTTCTGAGGTCCTGGGTCAACGCAGCCACATACCAGGAAGTTTTAGAGCACTTCATGCTTCCTGCAGCTGACCAACTTTTTGGAGATGCAGATTTCATTTTCCAACAGGACTTGGCACCTGCACACAGTGCCAAAGCTACCAGTACCTGGTTGAAGGACCATGGTATCCCTGTTCTTAATTGGCCAGCAAACTCTCCTGACCTTAACCCCATAGAAAATCTATGGGGTATTGTGAAGAAGAAGATGCAATACACCAGACCCAACAATTCAGAAGAGCTAAAAGCCACTATTAGAGCAACCTGGGCTATCATAACACCTGAGCAGTGCCACAGACTGATCGACTCCATGCCACGCCGCATTGCTGCAGTAATACAGGCCAAAGGAGGCCCAACTAAATACTGAGTGCTGTACATGCTCATACTTTTCATGTTCATACTTTTCAGTTGGCCAACATTTCTATAAATCCTTTGTTTTTATTGGTCTTCAGTAATATTCTAATTTTCTGATATGATGAATTTGAGATTTTCATTTGTTGTCATTTGTAATCATCAAAATTAAACAAAATAAACATCTGAAATATATGAGTTTGTATGTAATGTATGAATATAATATACAAGTTTCACTTTTTAAATGGAATTACTGAAATCAATCTACTTTTTCATGATATTCTAATTTTATGACCAGCACCTGTAGAAATAACTGATCCGAATGCCAGATGTATTGATGCAAATTTCACCATGCGTAAAGGTAAAGGTGTTGTTGAGCGCTGTGTAATATTTCACTATCTTTAGAATCAGAGACCATCCTAAAAAGCACAGAGAAGAGTTGTTCAACCGAGTTACTAAGAAGACAGAGCATCGAAGCCGCCAGTTTGATCCAGGATCAGCCACAGTTGATGAGCTGCAGCAGATTTAACCAAGAGCCTGTTCTAGGAAGTAAAGATGAGGATGAAGCAGGTATGATGTTTGAAGATATCAATGTTTTATTTTTAAAATGTAATCACATTTCCAGTTGAATTATATTTCATTTTGTTTTTCGTTAAATTCAGAAACTCTCCAACTGCATCAGCTTAAGGAGCAAAATAACAACCAGCCTCAGAAAATCACAGTTACAGTGGATGACCCTGGTAAGTTAAGATGTTTAGTCTCAGAGGGTTGAAAAGATATGTTCGTACCCTTGATGAAGATGTGTGAAAAACCTTTAAAGAAAATAAATTTTTTTCTTTGTTTGGTTAGCTTACAGCAAGCATTTGCATCTTAAATCGACTACATATGTTTTGACTCTCAGGTTTTGTTTTTGTGAGTTTAAATCGTACTGGAGCAGGGTTCCCACGGGTCCTTAAAAAGTCTCAAAAGGCATTGAATTCTTCAAAATAAAACTAAGGCCTTAATTGGTATTTAAAATGTCTTAAATCAGTCTTCCGTAGGTCTTAATTTTTAAAGCATCAAAAATATCAAATTTACCTTTTTTTTTTATTAAAAAAAAAATAACGGCTCGCCATTATTGGTTCCGTCCCGATAGCAGAACCAATAAAAGCCTTATTGCGGCCGGGATATTTGGGAGGTGCACCATTAACTTTTTGTCTGGAAAATATGAGCAATTGTACATGTAACAAAAATTGGCTCCAGCCAAGAGTTTTCTCCATGGCTAAAACCAGGGAACATACATGAGGCACAGTGGATTTTGTGCAAGAAGCGATTCAAGCTCAGAATGATGGGAATTAAGGCAGTGGAATCACATGCGAAGCACGAAACACAAAGCGTCGAAATCGAGTTACAAAGAAACAGCCGGTATTTCTCGGTTTTGTTCCACCCTTGTCTCTGCAACGCCTCCACTTATCACCAAATCAAACATAATAAGAAAACGACACAAAGAAAAATAGCTGCAAAAAAGACTGAGCACCGGTTATGTTGTGGCTTTAAAACTGATTCGTTTTGTTCCCTGCTAAAACAAAGTTTGTGAATTCAGTTAAATAATTGTTCAAATATATCTGTCATTTGTGTGTTTTTAGCTTTCTTCCTGTATGGGAAGCTTTTCAAAATTTGATACATTAGTGCAGTGGTTTATGTTAAAATAAACCTTTGGGTTAAGTTGTCACAAGCAGGTTTTTCTTGTGTTTCTTGTGAATTTGGTCTTAAATTTTTATTTCAAGTGGCATTAAAAAGTCTTAAAAAGTCTTGAATTTAACTTGCCTTATGCTTTGTTTGGTTAGCTTACAGCAAGCATTTGCTTCTTAAATAGACTACATATGTTTTGACTCTTAGGTTTTTTTTGTGAGATTAAATCATACTGGAGGTGAAAAGGGTATAAACCTTATAATATTGATAGTTTATTTAGGTCTTGTTGTTGTCTGAATGTGCACATCTGCGTTTCGAAATATTAGAATAGTTTCCAAGGGAAAGAAACTTGTCCTGCCAAGTTCTCTGGCTACATAATGTCTGGCCAGATAAAAACAGTCCAGTCCTTAGTGTGTGCTGGGCGAAGAAACTTTGGTAAACAGTTTAATCTGTCTTCATCAGACTCTGGCTCCAGTTACAGGAAAAGGAGGGGGGTCTGGAACAGTGAGATATTTAGCAAAACACCTCATTGGTAGAGAGCGTTCCCATGTCTGTGTATCACTCTGCGATATGTTGAAGATTCTTGACGATGTGTATGTGACTATGAAGGCTGTTAATTCCCTTTGGCACGCAAGAGATGACTGGTGTTGAATACTTTTTTCTTTAACCAAAGTTGCTCCCACAAGCATAAGAAATATATATAAAAAAAATAATAAATAAATAAATAAATATATATATATATATATATATATATATATATATATATATATATATATATATATATATATATATATATATATCATCACTCTTTTTAATTCTGTTATTCAGAAGCAAAGGTGGACATAGGGTCAAAGAGTGGCGATCATCTTCATTGGGAGAGAGATGCAGCTTCCCAGAAGACACAGAATCCTGCAGAACCTGCAGAGGTTTTACCTGTAAAAGTCAGCAGTCAGCGGGAAGTTGTGGCAGGACAGCAGAACCAATCTGAATTGAGCCACAATGCAGAGCCTCCTCCGAAACGCCACAAACTCTGTGAAGACAACAGTGCCCTACAGACACACTCCATTACTTCCTTTGGTAAGTGTTCTGAATCACTCTTTCTCTGTTTTGAAGCCTGTATGTACATGCCCCGATTTGTAGTAATAAAAGTTTTCTTACAGGAAACAAGGTTCAGGGCTCCAGTCGTTTGTCCCTTTTCTTGACAGCATGTGGCCAGGATCTTGAACAGGTCATCGGTGAGTGTCTCACTAACAATGCATCCTTAGCATCCTCTCCCTTTAAAGAAACACGCAACATGTTAAAATGCTCTGCGGCCACCAGGTAGGGACTATGTGTGGGAGTGTCAGGGTATTTCTCTGAAGACCTTTTACCTGTGCGAAGTCTGTGAAAAGACGCTCTCAACCCATGACATCTGTCAACATATGGTCAGCCGTGACCACCAGCTCCAGCACTTGGTATGTATCAGCTACTCCGTGCATTAAATGTTCGAAAACCTTCCTTTTTTAAAATTTCAATATTCCTCAGAGGAGGGAGCATCAAAGGTGCCTGGAGATGTTTTGGCTGCAGGACGACCTGCCTCCTGAATTTAAAGCTGGGCTATTAAAGGACATTGTCCGAGAGCTGTCAAAGCGGGAAAGGTTCCTTAAAGTGGACGCGCAGGTACCCAGAGTCACAGTAATCATTTCCGTTATCTCCTGTGATTTATTTGTATAGCTTACATTGAATCTTTTGTGATTAAATAAGTGAAATAAATGTTTTTTTTCTCCCATAAGTCTGTATTGCTTCGACCTGAGTTCCATGAATCTCTCCGGACCGCTCCGTTCACTGAAGGTAATTATCAAATGGTTTTATTCTTTGCTAAAATACCTTTACAGAAAGCAAAGAAATGCATCAGTTGTGGATTTATACAGAACACCTAACATAAACACTAAATGTGCTCTGATTTTTGTGATGGCTTCATTTTAAAAATGTATAAGTTTTGTACCCTTTGAACTTGTCATAACTGTAGGAGTTTGGTGCACTTTATTGTAAACATGAGGGAAGCTGCTTGTTCTTTTATTATAAACATGATGCTGTTAAATGTTGCATGCATTTTTATTCAGGCTTCCACGTCGGTACTTGTTAGCTTGTTTTGCTGCAAATCCAAATAATTTGGAGAGCATCCCGAACATCTATGCACATTTAGAGATCAATGGTTTTGTACATAGCACAAGCTCAATCAAATATGATAGTAACCCTCTGGGTCAGCATAAATATTGGGATTTTACAGTACGAATGCATTTTGCACAGATTTTGTTTGTTTAAAAAAAGAACAAAAGCTCTTAACCCAAAGTGTTCTAAGGACAAAATGGTTTATTCTACTTACAAAATCTCCATTCTTTCCCTTTCAGGACTTCATATTATTTTGTCTATGATTATCTTCTTAGATTGTTTTTAGGATTCACTGTCAGAAAGACCTTAGAGTTAAGGTCAGATCTAATAAACATTTGTTATATAACCAATATTCCTAGAACAACCAATCATTCATTTGGTCTTGTTTTCACGTCAGAAAGAGAAAACACTGTTTTTAACAGCTGATATGTTCACCTTAGAAAGCAGATCCCTTCAGTAGCGTCTCTAAAGGGTTCCTGTTCAGACACAACAAAACCTTTTTCTCCTTCATTGATCTTCCTCAACAAACAGAAGGGCTGTATTTTCTAAGGAGTCGATTTATGAAGAAGATGGTTTGCCCTGGATTTTCATTCAGGGATGTTATAATGAAGAGAAATTAACAAACATCCATTGTAAAAACATTTAAACTTTTTATCAATTTAGGAGGTATAAATGTTTTTAACAGGGCGCAAAGTTGCTGATGTGCATTAATCATAGATCATAGATGCAAAACTAAATTAAACTGTAACTTCAATAAATTAACAATCATTAAAAGTCCAAAAATGATTTGAAAAATATTTCTACAAAACAGTTTTTTTACTCATAATGACAATCGGATTTTCTGCTGATCTTAAATGTCTGGGAATTCACTTTTTTTTTTTTTTTTGTAGCACTGAAAATTGTGAAAAGCATTGCAAATGAAGACAAACAAGCTGCTTTTCATCGACCGGCCTCCGCTTTCCCTAAGAGTGAGCGCCACCAGACCAGTGAGTATCATGATCTCTTCTGTCATTTTATTTCTTCTCATGAACCAACTTCTGAGTTTGGTCCCAGATAATTCCTCTACCCGTAGATGATAGGACAGGCCATAGAAAGCCTGAATGTGTTAAACTCTTTGACCTTGACTCTATGCAGATTTCTCACCGTTGCCTGTCTGTTGTTGATAAGATGTGGGGGAGCGCAGAAACACAAATTTTGGAAGGGAAAAGCTAAACTCTTAAGGGAGAGCACTTTACAGGATTTAAAAGTCCAGCGTGTCTGTGGTGTTGTAAAAGTTAGTAAATAAAATTAACAAATCAAAGCTATAAAAAAAAAAGCTATAAAAAAAGTAATAAACTTGGTTTGATGACATTTGTTTTTCCATTTTAGCTTATGAGCACCTTGGTGGAGTTTGTGTAGAATCGAGGGAAGAAAAGGCATCGGAAAGGATTTTTATTTTGTTTTTGAATTTTTTAAAGGATAACCAGTCATATTTTTTATAATTATTTAATTTTTTTACAGGAAGTCATAATACTGAAACCAGTATTTGAGAGAAACATAAAAGTATTCTGTTGCGAGGAAGCACAGTGCGGGGTTGAGCCACCTGTCTGCTGTGCAGAAACCCTCCACCCCCATAATGAGTGATGTTCCTCTTTTACGGTGGTAGTAGTGAGTTAAGCCCTCCTAGCACAAGCTGAAAGGAAAGAAAAAAAGGAGAGTGGGCCTGCAGGAGCAAAAGGCCAGCTATAATGGTGATTTTAGAAGCTTTTGAGGGTGAGGAGCCTCTGCAATCTGCTTCTAAGAAAATCCAGCCAGGGGTAGCAGTATAAGCAGCACTGGCTAATACCTCGTCAAATTAGAGACTTTTCTCGACAATGTATTTGGTGTATTAGCTGCCTCCTCACATGTGGATAATGCTAATCCACTCATCTAAAAACGAAAACACTTATTTCTGATAGAAATTTTAGATAAATATGGGGGCTAACATCCTGTTAGCCCCCATATTTATCTAAACCCTGTTAAAGCTTTCAAAAATCTTTTATGTCATCTGATCCTTTTTAAATACACTTTTCTTGTAATGATCACATCTCTGATTTATAGACAAAAAAACGGACATCTGGAATACAACATTAAAATTAATATTTTTTTATGACTGGGTAAAGCATTAAAAGTAGTACAAAACTGTTATTTTTTTTTTTTTTTTTACCAGTTTTACGGTTTGCTTGAATGTCAGTTCTCACAGTTTCAGATATGAGCCGGTATAAACTTCTCACCGGCACAAGCAGCCCTGATATTTGACAATAACAATAGGATCCAGCGGCAGACTGAGAAAGCCATGAGGAACTCACCAAACAATCTAGAGATTCTTCCATCCCCATCTGCTACTGGAGGAGATAAAGCAGAAGGCTTCTTGCAATGACGCAAGTCATCCTACATCTAACACAGCAGAATATACGATCATGTCTCCTCACATACTGGCATTACCAATATCCATCTCTAAAAGGTTGTTTGTATGAAAGCATGCAGCAAACACAGGACCAGAAGATGATTTTTTTTGGTCATTAGATAATATCCAAAATAAAATGGGTAAACAAAGAGGCAATCATTTTTTCATTTTATAACCACAGACCTAATTTTGTGAAGTCGTCGCCAGCATTGTTAAGAAACAGACAGTTTTATTACATAGTTTTTGTTCCAAGACTGGTCATTTACCTTTCTAGAAGGTGAACTTTCCTTCTCCTATGTTAAGCACCATTTGTCTTGTCAATAATTCTGTCCTTTTCCTCTGTTGAAGAAAATCCTCTACAACTATCTTGTAACATTAAAACTCCCCATAAAATGCATTAAAATTTGAAATTTAAGTGTACCCTCAGAGTCTAACATGCACAATGAGCTGCCCTTAATATTTGTAAAGATTCATGAAATCAACTTGTCAATCACGCCACTGGATGCAAGTTGAAAGTGCAGCATCGTTTTAACTTGGCTTGTTTTTCAATCGCCCAGGGCAGCAGACTGCAGACCTGCAGAGCATACAGAAGAATCTTCCTACAGAGAGGCTGTCTGCTCAGGTGCTTGAGAAAAAGCAGAGAAGTGAAACAGGTAAGGCTCAACAAACTACAGAAGTCTTAGGGACTAATCTTATATTCCAAACTGGCATTGCTGAATTGCACATGCAAAAAAATGTTTCTCACTGAACTAACTGCAGTTAGATTTACAATATACTGCACAACAAAGGAAGGCTCATAATTTAGTAAAACACGACTGCTTCATAGGGAGCCCTTTGGGAGAAATGATTCCTTCTCTACCAATCCCACTTTTGCAATCTTTCAGGCACATTTTTATTTTTCTTCATTCTGGTTTAGTTAAAGGTGTAGTGGAGGATTTAAAATTTTTTTTTTGAAAAGACCCATCCTCTCCATTTAAAAAAATAATAACATGCACAACCTGCTTGCGAAGGGAATGCTTATTAAATGCGTGTGAGGGCGTGCAACAGCCCATGTCTCCTTCTCTCTGTTTAAAAGTTGCTGTTTGCATCTCTCATACAAGCTTACTTTCCAAAAGAAGATTAGCTATTTATCGACATGTAGGATGGCCTTACTTAAAGCTATCACCAGAATGATTGACGATTAGTAGGACCACTTATTTTGATGATCCACCCGGAAAAAGAACATCCTCCACTATACCTTTAATAGTCGCCATCCTGCTGCATGATTCTGTGTTGGCCTGTGCAGGTGTGTTTTAACCATGGGTAGTTAAGAGGGGCCAGTGCTCCTATAGAACTGGTCCTGTCACTTGTTCTTAGGACATTATACTAAAAAACTAATCATATATGCTGGATCAGACATAGTGACCGAATGCTCCCTGGGACCCATTTTACTTTTTTATTTCTTAACTAATCTGTTTTAATCATGATTTAAAAATTAAGCTTCGGTTGTATTGAGACAGGATCACAATTTCCAACTGAAAAATATACTCTAAATTGATCAGTTTTACTTAATTTCTCATTCTGATTTATTTAGAATTGGTAATTAAAGTTAAAATAAGTTAAGAATATGTAATTTCCTGAATTATGAATGTATATTGATGTAATATTCCAAGGAAAAGCTTTATTTGTATATTTTTGTGGATATTCATTTGGCAACTAATTATTTCAGAAGCCTTTTTCCACAGTATGGTTTTTATTTAAGCTAAATAAAATTTTACATTCTCAAACCTAAAATGCACATTTTTAATTGGAACAATTAAAGGTTTAATTCAACCAATTGAAGTAACTCATTTGTTCTGCCGGTTTCTTATTATATTTGAAACGTTAAAATGTTTCACTATTTTTTGTTTCATGCTTTTCTGTGGCCAAAATGGCCACAGAAAATTTAATGTTAATCATGCTAAAAAGCCTCAGTTCAGTTTCAGGTTTCAAAGATAATTTTGTAATCGGTAAATATTTGCATTTGAACGTCCTCCAACCTTAAATTTGCACGATTGTGTCATTAGAATATGATCTACATGTTAATGAAAGCTTACAAATAAAGATAGAGGTTTGTGCACCCTGCTTCCTGAATTGCAAAAGGCAAATAACTTTGCATCTTCTTTGAACATCTGTTCTAGGTGAAAAAACAAGTTTGCCCATATTTTAACACGCAGAAATGCCCTTAGTATGTTATTTCTCTAAGATTAAAAAATATTTTTTTTTCAATCTATATTTTCATCTTAATGACAATAATGCTATGCTGAATATCTAATAGAGTCAATTATAAGCTGCATCTTCAGGTGGATATTTGGCATGGCTCTTTGGTTAGCAAACTAATATCTTTTAAGGTGACAATTATGCCCTAAAGCTATCTTTACAACATTTAAAATGACCACATAAAGGTACACATTGGTTTTGAATTAAAAGTGGGATTATTTATTGCTTCTCTTTGTATATTTTGTGTTCACTGATTTCTTGTTTTTGTTCTTTTTTTTTTAAAAGCTGGTTTGAATCCAGAAAAAAACAACTCTGAAGAGGGATCCCTGGCTGACGGCTCTTCAAAGCCTGATCATGAGGTCTTTAAAGACCAGATTGTTGGTCTAGAACCATGCAGTAGTGCCGCTCAGAAGCCTGAATGTATAACGACAGTCTCCCCACTCATAAAACAAAGTCCAGTGGAAGAGAAATCTTCTAACTCAAAGGTTTGTCGTGGTTTGGATCCCAGTGAAGAGCTCTGCAGTAGTTCTCTTCATCCACACACCAAACCCTCTGTCTCTCAGATTGAAGAATCTTTTACCCCTATGGATCTAAATGCTACTTTCTCAAAAGGTGATGTACATCCCAGTCCAGAGGCATTGCCATTAAGAGAACGAGATTATAGTGATGGCTCTCTGCAACCAGAGTTGACAGTGACTGTTCCTCAGCTTCAAAGCTCTGATCCGCTACCGGTATCCTCTGCAATCAACCCTCAAGTATCCATTCCAGATGAGCTTCCTCACACTGTGGGAAGACAACTTGAAGTATCCATGAATACATTGTTAGAAACCAGCAGCTCAATATCAGCTGAATGTACAGCAGCACCAATGACATGTGACAGTGGATCCAGCTTGCAGTCAGCTGCAGTGTACACCTCATCTAACCCTGTGACGGGCGAGGTTGCTTTGTTGGGTACAAGAAAATGGGAGTTTCTCTCGGGGCTAATCGGCGTGTTAAAACGAAACAATTATGGTCCTTCAACTTCAAAAACTGCTGATAGAGACTTCATGAAGGCCAGCTCACCACTTGGTGCATCTGAATGCAATGCTGTAGTTCCTAACGCTGGCTTCGGAGAACTACAGAGGTCACAAATCAACGTTTCCCAGGAAACCTGTAGAATTGTAAACAACCCAGAGCCCATGGAGACTGGAATCAGTCAGCTGCCTATTAACACCATCATAACTGCCAGGTCAGACCACATGAGGCAGACCTCTAGAGGACACACTCTTACTGAGGTGAACAGACGACACCAACTCCATTTTCACTCTGATCTAACTCCCAGCCCTCCTAACTTTATGGCAGTTTCAGGAGGAAACAATCCTCACACCCAAGCTGCTTTTCTCCCTGGACTTCCAGACTCTGCTCCCCCACAGAGCCCCTTCCCCCTCAATGCTTTTAGCATCTATCAGCAGTATATCTATCCAAGCCAGCAGGTGGTCCACCCCGTCAGCATGCATTCATTTGGGTACAGTTTAACCGCACAAATGCCTCCAAGTTCGGGAAATATGGAGATGCAGCAGTACTACTCCATGATGAGACCAGAAAGTGACCAATAACTGTTTCTATTTTGTTTTCATGGTAATCCTGTAAAGGCTATCAGAACGTTTGTGTTTCTTTTTTTTTTTTTTGTACTTTATTAGGTTGCAGTAGAATTCTGTTTAAGGTAATGATTTCAAATTTTGTAATTTTAGTGTTTGTTTTTTTTTTATCTATTTTAATCTGTCTGTGTTTTATAAGTTGTTTCAGAAATGAAATGATTACTTGTACCATTTTGATATGTTTACATTAACTCATTTTAGAGCTTTTTTTTCCATTTGGAAAGTTAAAAAGTACCTCAGTTATTTTATAGAATGTTTCATCGAGATTTCTTTCACATTTGTGTATGTCTGTATATATATATGTGTATATGTAAACAGGAACATGTTCTGTTTGTTCAGCTGAATCACTTTGATGTAAAATTTATTTTTTTATCTTTTTCAGAAGTGTGCGTTTTTTTTTACATAAAACAACAATTTCAGCTAAATGGTATCTCTGATTAATGTTACATTTTGTATAAATCTTACACTGTGCTCTGTTCTACCAAAATAACTTCATGAACGTTAGAGGGTTAAAAAATCACAAATGTCATCCTTAGGGATAGATAGATATATATATATATAGATGGCACCATAGTTTAAGCTGATCAGTGAATATCAAGACTGAAGACCTAAGACTTGCTGTCCTGGGGCTGAAGAGGTTAGTTTCTTAGGGTTGTGAGTGAGAAGCTATTCTTTTTAAAAGTCTGTCTTCACCTCTAAGAAAAAGTAAAGGGTTTTTATTTTGTTCAATTACACTTAGTTATTTCATCTTAAGAAAAATAACCTGTGGTTTGTGTTAGGTTCAAAAATGTAAATTCGTAAAAGAGAAACTGAGTCCACACAGGAATGAGATTCCACAATTCCTGCAGGAGAGGAAAGAGCCCAACCCAACTTTTCAACTCTTTCTTCGACCCCCCTCCTGCAGTCCCCTTTTATTAACAGAACATAACACATGGTTACAAAACAGAGTATTGTTCTGACAGGACAATTGATCAGGTCATAAGACAGGATGCTCCACTAACTGAATCACAAGACCGAGCGGCCTTCTGATTGAATCATAAGACAGAGTGAAGCATCTCATTTTTCAATGTTCTATATGTACATACATTAATTTTATAATCATCATTGAATAAACCTAACAGTTTGTTCTTTAATTTGGGTTAGACTGCCTCTAGCAGCATTTATAGGCCTAGAACGGTCTAATTGGTTTTACTTTTTTTTGCGGACATGCTGCCGCCCAACCAGAAGGACTTTACAAGAACTCTATCAAAGGGTTATAATACTAGGTGGATTCAAAGTCTGCGAACCTGGGTTGGTTTCAGAGTCGGAGCCCAAGCGGCAGTAAGTAGTGAGAGGGGCTCGATTTTTGCGCAATCACACAACTGATCTTTGACCTAACTTGCATCTATCATAGAAATTGACTGAAAACATCTACCTCATTTCAACACGTGTCTGATCCAGAATGTTCTTCAATATCAAAAGTGATATTGGTATCGGATTGGTTCATCTCTACACATACTAAAAGTTTGTTGTGACCAGAAAGTCATTTTTCTAAGGGAAACCCAGACCACTTCAATCACACTTTTAATTCAATGATGTGGTTCCCCAGGTTTAATTTATTAAAGACTCTCCGACCCACCAAGGTCAAGGTTGCTAGATTAAAGTAAGATCTTTTTGCATTTCTAGCCATGCAAAGGCCAGAGCGTGATGGGAGTTTTCTTCTAGACGGCCTAGTGTGATCATACTTAAGTCTTTTAACCTTTTACAGAAGTGAATCTGTCACCATTTTATTATTAAATCTAACCTTTAAAAATTTAATTAAAGTGAGAAATGAGAAGATTCCTACAAGTGGGAAGTAATTTTGGATTTTTCACAAATTGATAATATTGGTTACAAGACTATTAAGATGCTTGTTGAAATGATTTTCCTAAAAGGAAGGTAAATAAAATCTGTTTTCGCACTTATTTAATGCTGTGTTGGGGGTTTGAGCTGAAACCTAACAACACAGTAATTAGAAAAGTTGGGATAGTGACCTTTTAATGAAATTAAAAGTGTATTTCCTACAGCTCCAGCCTGCCCTTTAAAATATTAGGTGATCTAATATGGCTTATTGTAAAAATGACTTTGACACACCTGATCTAGGGAGTCTAAGCTTAATGATCAATATTCATACTGTTGTACCTGCAGCATTTACTGTTTTCTTAGAAGTGGTTTTCGAAGGATGGATTGTCAGCATCATTTTGTTAACATTGTCTACAGAGAAGGAACATTGTGTGCAAAAGGCACATAGAAGGAAGTGGAGGATTCTACTTCTTCTGTAAATACTTTTTTCTTTAAATAGGTAATATAGGAATTAAGAAATGAAGAGTACATTTTAGAGATTAAATAATATTTCATTTCCAATCTACAATGGGAGGAAGGGGACTTGGACAAGACCAGGAAATGAAATCTGTGAAAGAGTTCAGGAATAATCTAAAAATTCAATCAGACATTTTTTATCCCTGTCTGAGATTCAAAATTTTTGATTCTGAAGGTTATCTGTTGATAGGTCACAATGCTGCAACAGTAATCTGTATAACAGTATAGTATTTGACCATTTTGGGTTACATCTTTATGTTAATTTTTGTTGTCTGTGTGTGTTTTGAGGGCTTTTATGATCAGGAGGGGCTTTTTCCTTCAAGGGAACATTGGAGCTTCAGGTTGTCCATATATCAAAACATCAGCTGGACATGTGTAGATATATTGCCATTGACTTCCCTCATTACTGTGGGTAATCATCTGGGACTGTGGTAATGGTTGGGTTTGTGAACAGGACAATACTGCAGCTCACATTGATTGCCTGACAAAGGACTTTTAGACAACATGTCTATTGGCTTATGCTGAATCTCCCCTGAATATTCCAACATTTGGGTTTGGTTGGTAAAGGAATAAAAAATATATATATTTTAGTTTCAGAACATGGAAACCCTCTGTGAACCTATGTTTAACACTTGGAGCAACATTCCCTCTGCCCTCCTGGAAAAGCTATTATCAGGCATAACAAAATAACCTTTGGAGGTGATTAAAAGGTAGAAGTAGAGTAGAAAATCCCTTTATTGTCCCACAATGGGGAAATTCTGGTGTTTACAGCAGCAAAAAGATTATAGATAAAATGGACGCACAAATGTGGAATTTAGAAAAATGTATAAGAATAAACATAATAGTGAAGAGTTAAAAAATAAACAATATACTATACTGTAGTGTTTTAACAATATAAATACTGTGCACCTGGAAAATATATGACCAATAACCAAAAACAGCTATGGGCATTCTTTAATATGTGAAGAGAATGGTTTAGCTACTCATTATTGAGTCCTGTTCAAAATTTACGATAGATAGATAGACAGATAGATAGAAAATGATGCTATGTGTAAAATCCTAATCAATTGAGGACCTAATCAAATGTAAAGTTTCCATCCATATATTGTGGTTGATATGGTGAGGAACATGTAAGTTTTCGTTAATATGGTTAATATGTGTGCTAAATGTGAGCTAATTATGTTAAGATGATTATTTCTACTATGTGGCTTCAAATTTATATTGAAATAAGGAAATAAATGTTTATTTCTATTTTATTTATTTGGAATATCCATGGGAATGACTCCCCTCCTGAGGGCCTGAAGTTGTTTTTTAAATTAATTCATCCATTTTGGATCTCTATGATTATGAGAGGAACTACCGACTTGCATCACCTTCAGGATGGCTTTTAGATCTCACCCGTGGAGGTAAAGACATTTTGTAAATCAGATTGTGATATTAGGGTAACAAATGTATTTTTTTTTTCAACATTTTTGTATATTCTGTGAAACCATTTAGTTAATGTAACGGCTATACTGTACAAATAACCGCCAAATCTTCACGTTTTGGTTTATGAAACTTTTTTATGCCCCTCTCAACTAAGGCCATCCTGCTGACTTTTCACAATGCAGATAGCTTTTTAAATAAAAAAGTTAACCGATGTAGTGTTGCTTTAATAGATTTTGACTTAAAATATGTAACGTTATAACGTTAGCAAATGCTAATTTTTTTAAACGGCTGGTTACTATGGCAACAGCTGGGTTTCTGTTGCTAATGTGGGCCGTTAGTGGACTAGCAATCTAACCTCCCGCCCTCCTGAGCTCTGATTGCTGCTTAAATCCTAATTAGCTCCACCTGTGTCTTGTTATGCGCCATCCATGGTATTTATTCTTCTGTTTCTATTTTCTGTAGTCATTTTCTTAGGCGTTATCAGGAGTTTAGTTCTTTCCTGGCCGTTTCTGTAATTTTTTTTTAGCATTTGTTTCTCACAGAGAGGCTGAACTATAGTTATTCCTTCTGTTACAGTTTTTATTCACTGTTTTTTGTTCTCTGGAACTACAATGTAGTTTCAGAGTATGTATGTATATGTAGTTACTACATATTGTGTTGTGAAAACCAGTTGGCTGCTTAACCTGTGAAGAGCAGGTAGGTATTTTCTTTCTTTAATACACACGCATACATACATACATACAGGGGCGTCAGCTGACCCAATACTATACAGGGGCACAATAGGGCACTCTGTGTGGAGGAAAAAAAATTTGGGGGCAATTATTTATTTTAAAAAAGCATGGGCACAGATGATTAATGCAAGCACATTTTTTGTAGCAGTTATTTATTATAAAGTATCATAAATAAATAGTAAAATCAGATTATTTTCTGCATTATTAAATATCTACCTAAACCAAACTGAATTCAGTTGGCCCACTTGTGAATTTAACTGTATAGCTCTAATCCACTACTGATGAAAGCACAATTTATCTTAATTATTCTTCAGCAAATGTGAACTTGAAAACTGAAAACTTGAAATGTGCAGAATTTCAATTCTAACTGAATTTGTAGTCTATAGCCCTATTTTAAGAAAGAAAATGCAAGCATGAATTCTGTAGATTTCTTCATATGCCAGAGAGTCACACTTAAATTATTATTAATTAATCAAAAAATCAGTGCCCCAGGCACCGCAGATCCACAACGCGGCACATGCCCCTGTGAAAAGGGTCTGCCTATGCATGTGTGCATATATAAAATCATCTTCTTTGGTTTGTCATCCAGCTGCCTTTAACACATTGACGTTAAACTACTCTTGAGGTAGTGATGGTCAAGATGAAGCCTCAGGAGACATTTGAACTATTTGGGCAAGTTCCTCACAGTTCATGAAAACTCATTTGAACATGGAGTGCAGAACTATAGTTGGTTAGTAATATATTTTGGAATTTATTTTTTTGCAATTGTTTTCCCTGATTTTTCTTTTCTTTTTTTTTCATTTAAGTTCCTTTGAAATTTTTAATGATTGGTATGTATATTAAAAAAAAAAAAAATCCTCTAAGTTTTTTTTTTTGTGTGTGTAAAATGTCTTGGAAGAGAACTAATTTAAGGTACACTGTTTTTCTATTTTAGTGAAATGAGCTCAAGTAAACCATGAAAGTTCTTGTGCAAATTGGGCAATAATGAGCAAAATGAAAGGTGTTATTCATATTAGGGATGCACGATATAATCGGCCTCCTATCGGTATCGGCCTGTATCGGCCTTAAAACTGAATATCGGACATCGGTCACCCCACCGATATTCCACCCGATATTTGATCAGCTTCTGAGTTTCTAAAGTCGAAAAAAAGAAAAATAAATACTACTTCTTCTTCTTCCTCAAAAACTTCTCTTTTACAGAATTAAAAACTTCTAAAGACGAGGGAAAAAATATTGATACATTAAAATATCACAATATTTTCATATGCTGATATATTGCCATTTAAAAACACCATATCAATCTCTTTTACTAATGAAATATTGCTATTTTTCATTGTTATGCTACAAAATACCCCGAAAATTTACAAAATTTTGCCATATTTTTATATGTTGATATATTGACGCTGTATCGATCTATTTTACTAACAAAATCTCACAAGAATTTGCAAAATATCACGAGAGTTTGTAAAAGAACGATGAAATTTCACGAGATTTTGAAAGTAAAATAGATCGATAACGCGTTTTTAAAAATCAATTTGATATCAGCATATGAAAATATATTTGAGTATATTATTTTTCAAAGTGTCAGAAATGGATAACAAAACTGCTATTTTCAATGACTACTTATTTTTGTCCAGCTTTAACATCGGTATCGGTTATCGGCTACGTGAGTTTTAAAATATCGGCATATCGGATATCGGCCAAAATCCCAATATCGTGCATCCCTAATTCATATTAATCAAATATAATAGTTTTTCCACAGTTTTTGATTTTAATATTAATTTTTCCTGGCTGATGTTTTGTCAGTTTTTCTCAGAAACATGAAACGCAGTCTACAAACTCTGTAACTCTGGCTGCATTCAGTTAGCTGGATGAGATCCTCAGACCATTGTGAGATAATATGCTGTTGAAACAGCCATATTCTAGGTTCCTTCATGCTTGGCCTCATGTGGTTGCAGTATGTCAGTTCTTGCATCATGAAGACATTATTACTATAGACAGGACTACCTGTTCCCCAGACCTGAATCGACAAAGCACATCTGGGACATCAAGTCTTGCTCCATCCGCCATTCTGAACCACAGACTGTCCAGGGTCTTGGATGTTATTTGGTGTTCTCTTTATTCATTTTATAGTGTTTCTTTTTAAAATGTATTATGGGGTCATTTTACATTTGCTGCAATTAGGTTGGGGTTCCTCCATCCCAGTCTTCGAGGTCCGGTGTCCTGCACCTCTTTAGATGTGGCTCTACTTCAACACTTGTCATGATCTCGTAGATGACTAGCCTGATTACTAATTTCATTCACCTGCCTAGCGCCGCCCAGTTCTCATTATCGTTCATCTGATCCACCTGCTTCAGCCTCTTTTTAAGCATCCTTCAGTCGTCAGTGCATGATTATTTGAGCCTTTGGTGAGAGTTCTCTAGCGTACCTAAGTGTTTCTGATTGTCTGATGTCCGTTCTGCCTGTCGACTTCTGAGCCTGCCTGTTCTGATCTGTTTGCCTGACCTATCCTTGGACTCCTGCTGGATTCTGCCTATGTACTGAACCTGGATTCTCTTTTGGTACCATCTCGGATCTCTTGGCTCTGACCCCCGAGCACATCTTTAACACCGGCTTTGATTTTGCCCTCTGGACTATCTTGCCTTCCTTTGTCTGCTCACTTCTGATCTCCCATCTGTTTTGTTCAGCGTCTGGGACTCTCTGGCCAACATCTGCCTCGTCTTGTCGGCAGCCGACCGGCTAGAACAAACATCCTCCTCTGGGCTTGGATTGAACTTTAAGACCAGGTTAGTGATTCATGTTCTTTATCATCCTCTGCCAGATAGCTGTGGTCACTAACCTGTGTTCTCTCCCTGCAGATGTTCCTGCCTTAGATACCCTCGCTCTTCACTGCAGATCCATTTTCTTAAACATTTTTGAGAAATCTGTTACCTCAGTGGTCAGCAGCACATTTAATTTGTGTGTAGAAGCACAGATGGGCCTAAAATTCAAATGACATTTTTCAGTGTATATTTTCTTCTTCCTTTTACCAGCTTTAAGCTCAAAAGATTTATCCTGAGGACTATGCTTCCAAAAAAAGGTCCAAGATGACTGAAAGTATTCGTAAAACAACTCGAGTGAGGTTTAGATTGGATCCAGAAATTGACATGAAACCATCAAACACTACCTCAAAACAGAATCGTGTTTCTATCCTAAAAAAGTAAGTATCTGCCAGACTTTGATTGCCATCTTAATTTAATCACTCTCTCCTCATTGATAAAACCTCCATTTCCAGGACTGGACTCACTAATATGACGGCTGCAAACTCTGCAGCAAATCCAGGGAGTCTGAAAAGAAAAACTGCATCCAAAGAACAATCACGACTTTGTGCTGCAGAAATGTGCATTAGTACTAGAGCTTGCACTGCAAATGTAAGAATGTATCCAGAACTGAGAAATTTACCGCCTTGTACCAAACTGAATGATGGCATAACTGCACACTCTGAAAACCCAAAGCTACTTGAAAAGCCCTTCAAAGTAACTCCAAATGGACTAAGTAGAAGCCTTACCAAAATTGGCAAGTATAATTAATTTTTAAGAACTTTAGTTTATCTATTTGAGTTATTTTTTAATGTGGAATTTCTCATGCATTAGGTGTAAGTCAGCTGGTTATTGTGTTCTGTGAAGACAAGCAGCAGGTCTACTGTCAGCTGTGTTCAGTCAGACTGAAAACATCCAGCCACTCCACCAGCTTCACTCATTGCTTCAACTATGTGGTATGTAGTTTATATAAGCTTTTAGAGAAAACATTAACTATTGCTCAACAACTCTGCTTTTTTTCTAACCAAGTATTTCATGCTTTACGTGAAGAATCTGAGCTTTCGTCTAAGGTTATTTCAGCTCAATATTTAAATAATCCACTCTGATCTAGGCTTGTCTGCATCATGATTGAGTGTTTCCTATTGCCATAAATGCATCTGAATCTGGTTATTTGCCTTTCTTGCCCCCTCCCTTTGTTTGGATTGGCTCTTGGACTAACAAATATGAAATTACCCCCTTTTTCTTTCCTTGGGTGGCACCCCTGAATCTCTAAAATAATGCAAAACGGAAACTTCTTAGGTCTGTATTGGAAAATAAGGCCATGGGTAACTTTGTTTTTTTTGGTTGTTGTTTTTTTATTTTTTTTGTTGTCCTAGAAATCGAAGTATCCAGGATTGACTGCAAATGTATCAAACTTGGAGGACAAATTGAGAAGCATCGTGGCCTATTTAGCTCAGATTGAGAAAAGCCTCGGTCCACAGAAGCCACAGGTGAAAACACGAGCACACTCATAGGGGTTTTGAGAATGTTGCACATTTGAAGTTCACACTCATCGCTTTTTTTTTTTTTTTTTTTTTTGTAAAATTATTAAAACGGCTAATTTATGAGGGGACTTAAGTTAAAAATTTGTTTATTGCAAAACTGGTGTGTTAAATCCTTTGTATGGCTGTTTGAAAACTACTTTTGGTTTATGCTGTGGGAATGCATCTCTGCTCCAGCACACCTGAGTTGAATTAATTAAATGACCTCCTCAGCAGCCATAGAGCAAAAACCTGTTTGTCACTCATAAATACAAGTCAGGTGTGTGGCAGCAAACAGACCCTAAGCAGTGGCTTCCAGACTCTGGTGGCTGGCTTCACACATACATTGTCTGATCGTTCATCCGACATACAAAGTTGTGACATCTAAACTATATGTATAGATTTAACATTTTGGTTCTACTTTTTCTGTCTGACTTCCTGTCAGCCTTATCCGGTTTTCAATTTGTCTACATATATCCTTATGCCTGATGCTCCTATCCCTGCCTGCACCTCTCACAGGCTCAACAGTAAAAACACTATCCAGTGTTGGAAAAGGGCTCTGGACTGCAGAGCTGAATCCATTTCACTAGCGTGGCGGTCCATCCTATGAAGCACATTACAAGTCGGATACAAACCAAATATCCCTTTTTTGGAAACCTAGGCTACTGCTGCCCGGAAGTAGAACAGCAGTACTGTGAAGAAGCCCACCAGGCAGAAGCTATGGTTAAATTGGGAAAGAGAGTAGCCGTGAACACTGAAGTTGAAACGAGCTGAACTTTTCTGTGAAATCACCACTCGGCAACCAATCAGGGACTGGTTGTAGGCAAACCTTTTTTCCACTTTGTATGTAGTACAGAGATAAATAATGTTAAAGGTGTGTGTTTATATATGAGGAATGCCCTCAAAGTTTTTAGGTAACTTTAAAAAAAGCCATTTTATTTTAGTGCTTGAAGCACTGCTGGTCTTCCTACCTCCAGCACAGACCCTGGTCTCTCACTGCCCAGCATCGGACTCTCTGCGTGGGTAGATGAGGAACTATAGCTGAATCCAACTGTTGATCAGATGCTGCATATGATGAACCAAAGTGGATTCTTCCCCCTCTCCTCAGTGCTTTAGATGGTTGTGAGGGGTAACAGCAGGTCCAAACTGAAGGGTCTGGAAGGCTGGTGATTTGCCAAATATTAAAAAAATAATTACAGCCACTAAATAAGGAAAACATCCACACTGTTATTGGCCAACATCACATGTCATTCCTGTGATAGTATTGAATAAAACTAAATCACGAAACGAGTGCAGCACTAACGTCTGCTGGGATGATTTCATTGGCTGTAATTAAAAATCATTCTCTTAAAAGCAAATCTGCACAAACGGTTTAAACTGCACAAATTAATTAGCACTGAAAAAGTAAGCTAGATAATTTAGATTAAATTCAGAAATAAATGAGGGGGGGTTAAGTTGGTCTCTCTAACCCCAAAAAAAGATCTTTAGTATCTCTAAAACAGCAGCACACGATCTTTGAGATTTTTTTTTTTTTTTTTTTTTCATAACTAACTAGCCTGCATAAAATAACGACAAAACGGATCTGAAGACAGCATTGTGGGTGTTTTTTAATTGAAATTTTCTAACTTTTGGGACAATACGGTCTGAAGAGTACATTTATAAAATGTTTAAGCCAGAATGATTTAAATATTTAAAGCCGGAATGATTTAAAAATTTAAATATTACTTCCCTACGACTTTAAGCATGCGATTCCTCTGTAGTTGGAACATACCCTTGGGTCCCCCTTTAACTGTACTGTTTAACCGTACTTTTCTAATTCCTCCACACTCTTTATGACAAAGGCTTCAGCCTTTTAACCCCTTGAACCCTACGGACCCACCGGCGGGTCCAGCTGCTACATGACCTCGTAATTTTACCAAACCCCCAGTATTGATGTAAAAAACATATTTGGCACAGTTTGGTGACATTTATGGATAAATGTGCCAAAATGGCCTCTCCGCCTAAGAAATTTCTCACTAATACCATTCTAAAATAAATATGATTCATCTGATTGAGTCCAAATTTGGTATATTTTTACACAACATTTAGATTTGAAAGTCTGTACTACTTTTTTGTGCTATAAATAATATTTTGGTAGTGTTTTGCAATGTTTATTTCAAAGAAAATTTTGGCGAGGTTCAAAAAATGCAAAATATTTTGTCCCTAATAGTTCAGGCAGGGTCAAAGCTACAATGGTGCTGACACCAGAAAACCATTCTGACATCTTACCTTTACAGACGTACCAAAAGTTTCTTCTTAAATCTAATAGCTTTGAGGCTATAAGTTATTTACTTTTGTGTGTTTTTGTCAGGCAGAAATTTATTTATACCCCCTTAGGGTGTAAGAGGTTAAGGTCTTCCAGTCAACTTAATGTCTGCATTTCTGCATCCCTTTTTGCTACATGGTCATTAATATAAACATCCACATCTTTAAGCAACTTTCCTTTGCAAACAAAATCACGGCTGACAGGCTCAAGTGAATTTGAAAGCCATATCAATCCCTTTACTCTGTAGTAAGATGGTCACCTGAACCAACAACTGCTTTAATAATGCAAATTTGAGATGGAATCTAGAAATGTACCCTTCTACCTTCCAAATGTTTGCAAAATCTCTCTCAAATGTCTTTTGTTTGTTCTTTGTCTTTCATCTAGCAAATAGAAGTGAAGAAGGACTTGTACCTAAAGCTGGCTGCACTCCCAGAAAAAGAAGGTATTTAAACTTCAAAAAGCTGTACCATTGCAACTTCGCCTTTAAACCTAAAGGGTAATACAGTAGAGGATCTTGTATTATACTCTGTTATTGTTCATAATAGAAAATTTTCATTTTCATAAAGCATCATTGCTGCTGACTTGTATATAGAGCCTTTGGCCAACTCTAGTCCCTACTCGGTTACATGTCCTCTGTTACTACCAGGTGATATAGTGTCCCCGACTTGGGGTTTACCTCCTGTCATTCCCTGAAGCCTCACTTGCTGATCTTTGACTTGGGTGACTCCCTTTGCAGTGATGCAATACGATTTGCCTTGCTACAATGAATGTTGGTGAAGGCACCCCTTACCTGCTCGGCATTGGGATGCAATATTGTCAGTTGCTTAACAAAATTTAAGTTTAGAATTTGTAGAGGTATTTGGTAGTAAAAAAAATTACCATAAAGTAACGTTATAAAACTGTATCATGTACAGGTTAGGACATGTCTTTCTGACCTTATCTTTTTTTTTAATCCTCAGCTGTTAAAGAACTGAAAGCAATTGTCAGACAAGACCCTCTAGTCTCATCCACTTCAGCTGATGTAATCAAAGCCTTTCAACAGAAAACTAGAAGGTCCTCTGAAGTTTCAAGAACACGTGGTAAATCTTAAATCCTGGCAATAATTTTTCTAAAAGTATTTAAGGCTTTTTAAGGGTCATCATTATCATTGTTTCCCCTTTCCCCCTGTGTCTCTGCTCATAAGTGTGTGTGCAACCAGCAGAGATTTCAAGACTTCCTGGTAATAACTTATCAGAGCAGAATGGTGAGCGACTTCAGCAGAAAAAACCTCTCTGTGAGAAGGAAAGGGCAAAGACTGCTGGTGAGAACATGAAATTGCTCTTCATTTTCCTTGCTTTCTATGTTTTGAAGTGATTCTATATAGATGGCTAGATAATTATATGCATAAGTGTACTTAAATGGTCATATTGGTTTAAAATAATCGCATTTTAGATTTTTATCAAAATTGTTCAGCCCTATAAATCTCCAAGTACTTCTTGTATATATTTTTTTATATATCAGTTTATTATTGATCTTAGCTTGTCACTACTACATGGTATGAATTTATTTGTGTTTTTTTTTCATTGTAAAGTCCTGTCAGCTATTTACCCGACTCAAGATAACTTCCAGCCTTCTAACAGATGTGACACAATGGATTCTGATTCTGCTTTAGGTCATGAAGGTGATGAAGTGGGAAGATGATCAACATTTTACAATTACTTCCAGAACAATATTTAATTCTTTGTTTCATTTTAGAAACCGTCAAACAGAATCAAAGTAACTGTGACACTGTTGCTGCTCCTCATCATCATAAAGTTACACCTGCATGTCCTGGTATGCAACATTTAATTTGGTATGTAACTTATGTGTTGCCTTACACACCATCTAAATTCATTTGCACAAATTCCCCACCTTTTGTCTAACAGGAGTAAAAGTGGAAAATGCAGATTCTATTTCCGCCCTGGAAAAAGATTGTTTAAAGAGTTCTTTTCCCTTAAATGAAATCTGCAGCCCCCAGAAACAAACGGGTCTGGTACAAATGAGACCAAAAGGACTGAGCTTGAAAGAAGAAGCAGCCCCAAAAAACGACTCGGCACCACAAGAGTACTGTGAACTACAGTTTTCCCCCATTACTTTCTATGGTTGGTGTTGAGCATTTGTGTTTAACTTTGTTTTTGTACTTTATAACCACCTTGAGTGATGAATTGTTCATACAGGGAGAAAAGCTCCAGGCTGCAGTAATTTGTTCCTTTACTTGCAAGTAAGAGAACTGGATGCTGAAAAGGTTATTGGTGAGTGTCTTGACGCCCTTGGCTTTGATCATTTTTCACAGGATGATGTAGCTTATCTGAATAGTCTGCACTCACCAGGTATAGACTCTGTCTGGGAGTGCAGAGGGATATGTCTGGACACTTTCTTTCTGTGTGAAAGTTGTGAAAAAACCATCTTATGCCGCAACATCTTTGAACATATGACCAACCTTAGCCACCAACTCGAATACATGGTGAGGGTTTGTATAAAAAAATGTATAAAGTGGTTAAATACAGGAATTTATTTGTAAGGCTCTTGATGTTTCAGAGGAAATGGCATCCTGAGTTTCTGAAGATATTCTGGCTGCAGAAGGATCTTCCTCAAGCATTACAAATGAACATTTTGCGAGAAGTTGTCAGAAGGCTGGCAGAGCGTGACCGTGCCTTTAAGGTTGATGCAAAGGTATTTATTTTTTCAGTTTATTTTTAATGGCTAAGGATTTGTGTTGCTCTCAATTTGGGAAATATTTAGGATGACAATCAACCCATTTTTCTTAAAGTGCATAATACTGAAACAAGAGTTGCATCAGTTTGTCAGGATGGCTCAATTCAATGAAGGTAAAAGCTTTACTTCCACACATCTGTCATGTTTACATGTTATATGCCTAGTTTGTATAATTGTTTTGCCTCTTTTACAGCTTTGAAAATTGTGCGGAATATCCTTAGCGAAGAGAAAACAACGTTCCATCTATCATCCGGTCTTGCAGCCAGTGAGTAACTTTTGTATCTTTCTGGCAAGCATAAATAAGTTGCAGGAACTGCTCAATTTGTTCCTTCAGCATTGCATAGTTTTGCAGTTGTTGCATGGGTTCTTTGTCATCAGGAATTATCTGCTCCCCAACATCCTCTGCAGCAACATTTGCAGTATAGAAGCAAATTGTACTGCCTTATGTAGTCTTATTCGTGACCTAATGCTCGCTTGGTAACGCAGAGTATGCAGGATGTAGACAGGGTCTCTACATGCTGAAAGTCACATACGAATCTTGGCAAAAACCGGCTTCTTAGTGGTTGACTTGCATGAAGTCGGGTCACAGGCCAAGAGATTTCCATCAAGTTTTCGACAGAGCTCCCAGTCGTGCACGTGCATCCACACAGTGCAATATTGAAACTATAAAAGCAGCCTGAAATGGAACGCTTAACTAACTTGGCTGGCCAGGCCTAACCCTTTTCTGATCGAACCTATCCTGTTAAATGACGCTGCAACTCTGTCTCAGGGTGTCTGTAATCTTCTTATAGTCAGATCCTCGGTGCTTTACTATGAGGTGCTATGTTGAATATTCAGTTTCCAGTCCCTCTCCAGCTTCTAGGATGACCTCTGGCTCTTCACTTTAGCTTCACAACAGGGTGATCTACTTGGCTTTCCTTGGATGCTTTTATAAGCTTTAAACTCTAACCAGAGCTAAATTTAGCTGACCTTCTTTCAAAACTGGACAATTATGAAAAAATTGAACTGTGACTCACTTGGATAAAGCTTCTTTGATGGGATTATATTACTGATGAATCAATCAGAAGTAATGTTTATTTAGCACCTTTCGCAGACTTAGAGGACACAAAGTGCGTCACAAAATTACAAAACAAATAAAATACATTTACAGTCACAAAAAACATGGTCATAAAACAACCCTTTATCTACTAGAATAAAAATGCTTTCTTAAAGAAATAGGTTTTCAGTTTACTCTTAAAAAAAACATCAACAGAATCAAGCACGAGCAAGGCAGAAGATTGTTCCAGACTTCATTAAGGGAATGTTCTCCACTGGTCCGTAATGAGTACGAGGGACCATGAGCAGGTTCAGGTCCTGAGACCTCAACCTCCGAGAGGGGGGGGGGGTATATGGACACAACAAATCTGTAATGTAGGAGGGAGCCTGACCGTGAAAGGCCCTGAAGATCTGCACCAGGATTTTAAACTGGAACTGAAAGTAGATGTTTAGCTAATGTTTTAGCAGTCATAATATGCAGCTGCTATCTGAAAGGGAATCAGTTTTTCTCTCTGAAGTTTACCTGAAGAAAATGAACTGCTGAAAATAGTTTTGTGCTTTTCTGTCATTGGTAAATTGCAGAACAATGCCATGTGCCAAGAGGGGTAGTTTCACATCAACATTTAACTGGAACATGGGGGACTGGTCCTTTTTGAGAGTGAAAGTAAATGCTGTTTTGATTACTTGTTTTGCCTTATGAGTCAAATACCTCTGCAGATGGCTTTATATAAAGTTATGTCATGGCTCTTGGAAAGTCAAAATGTTCCCCTTTGATAATGTATTCTTCCTTGTTTGAAGGAAGTTCTGTTAGTCTTTAATTTTCTTTAGCTGCTTAATCCTCCTTATGTTTAAAAACCAAAACGCTTGCTACCACTATTTTCCTTCACTACCTTTCTTTTATTTCATTTTAGAGGCTGAAGAGAAAGGCAAGCGCAGTAATCTGGAAGACAGTTTAATTGTTGGAGCGTCAGCAGTGGTAAAAGCCTTTAGCCCTGTGAAAATGACCTCCACCTCTTTAAAGACTAATCTGTTGGACCCTTCAGCCCATGATCCAGGAGAAACTCTGGTTCAGTTTACCAATCCTAATGCATTCGTAAAGCGAGAGTTTAAATCGGCTGTCTCCTACCCTCAAAGCTTTGGTGAGGAATTGGTCCCAGAAACATCCTGCAGTGCTGTCAAGAACAGCCTGTCGGCATCCGTTGGAGCACAAACCAGAAAAAGAACAGCTGAGGTATCTCTAAGCCTACATCAACTGAAAGATCCCACGCCTCCTAAACGTACATTTCTTCTACAAAGGCTGAAGAGTGAGCCTGGTTCTCCACCCTCTATGACCCCTCCACTGAACTCTGTTGCACCCTCTTCTTCGCTTGCTATGAAAGATGAAGGCTCCAGCTCCATAAAAGCTACATCCACTCTGGATCAGGATTTTCTTTTGAAGCCAATTCCTGGCATGAAATGGCGAACCTCCAAGAAGAACCACCACTCTGCATTGGCTAAGGATCATATAACCGGCATAAAGTCTGAAATAGTGTCACGAACCTGTGATTCAAAGTCCCAGCTTATTAAAGCTGAGGCGGAGATGAACCGAGCCTTTAACTCTATAGAAGGGAACACGGTGCCAAAACCTGATCCAGACTACAGGAAGGAACCTCTGTCCTTTGGTGCTTCAGCAGCAACCATCTCGTCCCCTGAGGACTTTCTAGAAGGGAGCACAGTGACCAAAGTTATACCATTGACTGAGGTGGCTCCTTCTACTGACTTACAGAATCTACAATTCTTTCATTCCCAAAAGATCTGTAGAGTTGAGTCCTATAGTACGTCTACCAACCATATCTCAGGACAAATACCAGATCCAAAAGGTGACCTAGAATCTGACTGGACTCTGATTAGTCAACCATCTTCTTTTAAAAATGAAATTTTAAACCCAGATAAACACTTCTTTCAAGGTAGCTACGAAGGACTGACTACACCTTGTTTTAACAGAAACCATCAAATTGGTTTCAACACTTGCCCACCACCAGCAGGCTCATGCTGTGCTGAAGCTTTTGAAGGTTATAATCCACACAGCCAGTTAAGTGACATTTCACATCAACAATGCATGTACCCGATCTACCCTCAGCCAGTCATTCTGTTTAGTCCAACAGTTCAGTTGCTTCCAGGAGTGGGTGTTTTCCACATCCCCTGTTACTCATGGGCAGCAAGGATGGGAAGGTGATCTGTAAAGCTTTTAGACTTGCATGAAGTTGTGAATAAAAGTTCTCTGAGGAATTGTTAGAAATCATTTATTTTATACCTGTTTCTTCAGATTGTTACATTTCTTTGTGCATAAAGAATCACATTTTTCATGTGGAACTAAAATGGTTTGTGATGAAGAAAATTGTTAAAGTTGCTTTTATATTTAATAAAGTCTGGTTTTCTTCGAGTTTGTTATATGTTTCTGCCCTGGAAAAACATAGCCAATTGTAGATCTTGAATTGTATGTTGATTATACAATTAAATCCACAAACATATCCTCACCACAGCTGGAGAGTCCATTGGAGGCCATCTTGTCTTTCAGACATTAAGGTATATAAGCAGAGAGAAATGTGAGGTTCGGATGGGAAAACCAGGTCAGTGTAGCTGGGTGCACTTGACATTAATTATGGTTGATTTGAGATCAGTTAATGTTCTGATTAATCACATTAAACATCTGAGTTATTTTGGGGAATTTGTTTTGTATTTTTTTTTTTTCTGAGACGTAAATAAACCACTTTCTACACTGGACATCTGCCTACTGCCTTCTTCAGCCACTTTGGCCAGCCTATCTCCCACAGTAGCACCATAGAGGGAATTCTGACCAGCTGTCTCACTGTGTGGTGTGGAGGCTGCAGCGCCGCAGACTGGAAGGAAGTGAGAAGAGTGGATCATCAGGGCTCCTCTTCCCTCCATTAAAGACATTTCATCTCAACGCTGCGTGTCCTGAGCCTGTAACATAATTATTGACCCCTCACATTTAGTATTTTTCACCAAATTTAACTATTTTCCTATGCACAGAACCTTTCCATATCAATGCCTTTTGCACCATGACTTTAAACTGGTTTTCCTTTTCTTCTACACTGTTTACATTCTTGATCAGTGCTGCACTTTATAAATGGAAATGTTCATGTAACTGCCAAGTTGCTCATTTAATGTCGAAAGCTGTTCGCATCGAAATTTCGTTTTGTATACTGGATGATCATACGTCTAATGATATGCAATAAAAGTGTTTTGAGCCATCCCCTTATTTTTCTTTAAACTCAGTCTTCATGGTGTTTCTCTTTTGTTTCATTGCCCCTTGAAGTGAAAACATCTTCCTGTGAAGGAGTCAAAATATGACCTTTGTTAGGGTTAAGTTTCCCCAACTGTAACCTATAAAAAATGGGAACAAAGACAGTAAGATTTTTCCTGAAATGCTTTACAAACGGTAGTCCAGAGTTGACAGTCAACCTCTTCATCTCCGCTTTGCTCAACACTTGCCAGGCTTTTTTTTTTAGCAGTCAACACATTACAACAGCAGGGGTTAGTTTTGATTACGCAGTCTCTTAGACATAGCATGAACTTTTAAGATAGCCAGCATACGCTTTACAAAAGGTGTTGGGGTTGTGACTTTTCACTTCTGTTTCTCAACTGAAAAACAGGAAATCATTCTTGCAAAACATTTGACCGTCTTATGACCTTCATACACTATTTCCAATGTTGAGAGTAACATAGAAAAACAAATGATTGAGAGCAATATAAATGAATAAAATGGTAAAAACAACAGAAATCATAACTCCAACAACCTTTGAAAGGAATGGAGCTGAGAACTAGTTAGGCATATTTCTGTTCTCAGGCAGTTTCATCAACATGCAACAAGGCTATGGCAGACTAAGTGATTATCTACATTTAAGCTTGTCTTGAGATTTTACATCCCATTAAAGATAAGAAGTAATAAGATAAAATAATTCTAAAAAAAACTCCAAGACAAATTAATGAACATTAGGCACAGTGAACCAACATACCTGTCAATAGGAGTAGAAGTCCTGCTGAACATTACAGAAAACACCTGATATTGGTGATTGCCTCAAATGAAATCCCAAAATGAAAACGCTTTACATTGAGACTTGTTTACTAGCGAGAAGGGAGATTTGTAAGTTTGTCAAAATAACACAATAGAGGGTCCCATACTTTGAAAAATTTTTTGGTTTATCCTTTCAGAAAGTATTTCACTTTTTCAATTTTTAGGAACATCATCATATCTGAGAGCCACATTGATGCCTTAGATGGAAATTGGGATTTCCATTCCAGAAGTATTCTCCTTCGAGCAATCAGAGTTGCAAAAGCAATAACATTTTCCTTTCTAGAAATTGCACCGTCAACCCCAAAAATAGCCATTAAAGGACTAGGTTTTAGATGTAGGCCAAACGCATCGTTCAAAATCCCAAATACTGAATTCCAATACTCTTTCAGCTCAGAACACGACCAAAACATATGCGCTTAGTATACTATAGGTTTATTGAAGACAGTTAGTGTGTGTACATATGAAACATTAAAGACCTGCCTCCAGCCAGAAGGTCATTACAGGGTCATTCTGTTTTAAAGGAATAGTACACCCAAAACATGATTAGCCTTCATTTTCTACTCACCCCCATGCTGAACAACACTCTGGAGTACTTTTTTGATATCTCAAATGCATCTGGAGATCTGGGAGGCTTCTTGCTGTCTGCTGACATTCAAATAATGGAGGTCTATGGCGCCCGAGATAGAAAGGTCCATAAAAGTCCACAAAAACGTGTCAATATTCCTCCATACTGCTCGTCCAATGTAATCCAAGTGTCCTGAGTGGGTAGCATCCAGAATTTACTCGAAACGAAGTCATTTAGAACGTTTTAGAGCATAAACAGTAGTGTATAGGATTTCCTAATAGCGCCCCCATGCGCGCTCACGATTCTACGGAAGCCGGCAGACCAAACCAGCGCATTCAGCTCGGCAAAGAACTCATGCTCTTCCTCAACACTGAAGTCCTCAGACATTTTTCTTTCGTTGTTTCTTTCTTTGCACAGGTAAACCGCACATTTCTTCTTCTACGCTTGCATTATCGGCAGAGCAGACGCTGAATGCGCACTTTCTTCCGGTTTGGTCTGCCGGCTTCCGTAGAATCGTGAGCGCGCATGGGGGCGCTATTAGGAAATCCTATACACTACTGTTTAGGCTCTAAAACGTTCTAAATGACTTTGTTTCGAGTAAATTCTGGATGCTACCCACTCAGGACACTTGGATTACATTGGACGAGCAGTATGGAGGAATATTGACACGTTTTTGTGGACTTTTATGGACCTTTCTGTCTCGGTCACCATAGACCTCCATTATTTGAATGTCAGCAGACAGCAAGAAGCCTCCCAGATCTCCAGATGCATTTGAGATATCAAAAAAGTACTCCAGAGTTTTGTTCAGCATGGGGGTGAGTAGAAAATGAAGGCTAATCATGTTTTGGGTGTACTATTCCTTTAAGACCCACCCCATCCTGTTGTGATCTGTTAAAAAAAGGCTCTACTGTGAAGGGAGCAGGGAGAAAAGGTGCTGGTTGTGAGCTAGCAGTTCTTCTCCCTTCTGCAGAGGCTGTTGTTGCAAATCCCTGTCTGTGTCTGATCATTTCGTCCTCTATAAACTCACATTTTTCGAACCCAAGATCTACGTTGGTGGCTCTACAGCGATCACACATTCCATCTGTTTCAGGATATATTTTGGCAAGGCTGACTTTGCTATTGTATGGTGGAGAATTTAAAACTGAATCAGATTGAGACGTACACAAAAAGTAGTACCATTGTTAGAATGGCCTTTAGCGGTTGGAGGAAGTAGGAGACTTGAGGCAGAGAAACTGTGCAGCCCCACTGGGTGTTTATTCACCAACATTTAATAAACAAAACAAACTCTGCTCATTTTGGCCTAGGGTCTCAGCAGCAACAACTCAATATGGCCAACATGCAGCCTTTTATAGCTGTTGGCTGTTCCAATACACAAACCCACCAAGAAACAGGGTAAAACAAAATACATACACACAAACAAGGTTTGACAAACTACCAAAAATCCTCAAAATATATTGCCAATGCTAGTCATTTTCAGCATCTCTACAAACACATCTTTATCAATATAAATACAAATCCAACATTAAGTTTATAAAATGTCTAACTCTCTGCTCCCCCCCTTCCGTCTGCTTTGGTCTCTTCCGGAACCTTTAAAAGGTACTCAGGCCCCCGGGGAATATTTTAGCCTGAACACCCTGCAGAGGAAGAGAGAGGTAAGCCACACCCATACAAGCCTTCAAACATTTTAAACAATCAATACTTATATCATCCCTTTGTTGTATTTTAACAGGACATAATCAGTTCCAGCTGAGATGCCACCGAAACCACCATTAATAAACCATTTCAATCAGTTTGTATCCGGTTCATTTCCTTCATCATGCATTTCTTTTATCATTTAACACATTTTAAGTGTTGTACCACCAAGTAATGAAGACCTTCATTACATTTCCTCCCCCCTTCCCCTAAGCTCACAGTACCTTAACTTTCAGGAATCCTAGATAAACAGTCAGCTGCAGTGTTGGTTTTTCCAGCCTTGTAATGGACAGTGAAGTTATATGGTTGCAGAGCGAGGTACCATCCAGCAATCCGTGCATTCGCATCCTTCATCCGATGCAGCCACTGGAGGGCCCGGTGATCCGTCTCCAGAAAGAAATGTCGTCCCAGCAGGTAGTATCTCAACGATTCGATGGCCCACTTCATGGCTAGACATTCTTTCTCCACCGTTGAATATCTAGTTTCTCTGTCCAGAAGCTTACGGCTCAGAAACACCACCGGCTTCATCTCTCCATCCACTTCCTGCAACAAAACAGCCCCAAGACCCACTCCTGAAGCATCTGTTTGCAGTGTAAAAGACTTCTCAAAATCAGGGGTGTGCAAAACAGAGTCTGTGCAGATAGCATTTTTAAGATCTTCAAACGCTTTGTTACATTCCTCAGTCCATTGGATCTTATTTGTGGACTTGCCCTTTATCAGGTTGTTTAACACAACTGAGCGTTCTGCAAAATGAGGAATAAACTTCCTGTACCATCCAACCAGGCCCAAGAAGCTCCTCACCTTCTTCTTTGTTGTAGGTACAGGGAAAGTACGAACAGCATCCACTTTCCCCACCTGTGGTCTAATTTTGCCAAAACCAATGATGTGGCCTAGATAGGCCACCTCTCTCTGGGCAATGGCACATTTCTGGGGGTTGATGGTCAGACCAGCTGCTCTGATGCATCCCAACACTTGTTGTACATGGAACATGTGGTCCTTCCAGGTTTGACTGAACACAACCACATCATCCAAGTAGGCTGCTGAAAAGTCTGACACATTTCTCAAAACATGGTCCATAAGTCTTTGAAAAGTGGCAGGTGCTCCCTGTAAACCAAATGGCATAACTTTGAACTGATACATACCAAATGGTGTTCTGAATGCAGTGAGCTTGCGGGCCTGCGGTGCTAGCGCCACCTGCCAATATCCTTTACTTAAGTCCAGTGTAGTAATGTACCTTGCTCCTCCCACTCTTTCCAACAGATCATCTATTCTGGGCATAGGATAAGGATCAAACTGAGACAGAGAATTCAGATAA